CACCTGCCTAACCTGAAAGCTGATCTTTTCCAAGCACAGTTTTCACAGAACTCTCTTTAAGAAGATCTATTAGGAGAGGTGGGAAGAGGGGGCCACAAGAATTCCAGCAATTACTTGCACTTTAGAACCAATATATCTCCTGGAATAGAGATGTTGGGATTCTCTACCAGCTTTCTGAGAAAAAAAAAGGTAAGAAGTAGCTTTCTTTCTTGGTAATAGGAAAACGAATCTCTTTTTGTTGTCGTGTTGTTAATTGCGAAGTCATGTCCGACCCATCGCGACCCCATGGACAATGTTCCTCCAGATCTTCCTGTCCTCTACCATCTTCTGGAGTCCATTTAAGTTCACACCTACTGCTTCAGTGACTCCATCCAGCCATCTCATTCTCTGTCGTCCTCTTCTTCTATTGCCCTCAATCTTTCCCAGCATTAGACCCTTCTCCAGTGAGTCCTTCCTTAGGTGGCCAAAGTATTTGAGTTTCAACTTCAGGATCTGGCCTTCTAAAGAGCAGTCGGGGTTGATCTCTTCTAGGACTAACCGGAACGAGTCTCTAGCACTAGTGAATGAAATCTCTAGCACTAGCACTAATGATGTTACCTAATTTGGGTAATGAAACTTCTGCAAGAAAATAACCAAGCTCAGAGAGCACCAAGGACCCCTCAAATGAATCTCTGTTCATCTAAGATCTAATTCTTACCCCAAGTATCCCTGTATGTATTTGATTTTTTTTTTGTTATGTGAGAGAAGAACTTTGCACATATTTCTCTTGTATTTCATTTTGTTACCCTATTCTCTAACTTCTCAAGCTTGTTTTGAATTTCATTTCTGATTTCCGGGGTATTTGCTGTCCAAATGTTGTGTCCAAATGTTGATAAACATTCCTGTCACCTTTCTCCAAAACATTAATTTAAGAATGAACAAAAGAAGTATTATTCTAATTTCAAATAGAAGATTTCAGTGAAAGTGAGATTGGATCTGAATTGGACTTCTTGCACTTAGTGTTTCTCTCTCTCACACACACATACAGACACAGACACACAAACACCTATCCCACATGATAGCAAATTAATCTGTGCTTTGCTATGAACTGCTATAAGAAAAATAGCTGCACATTGCTTTTTACATGGAATTTAGTGAAATGGCTTTATGGGTACAACTGAGGCTTTATTACAGATTAGATAATTTAGTCCAGCTGGCTTGGTCTATGCTATCTTCAGGACTACTGATATTTTTATTTTAAAAAGGCAAATATTTAAAACCTGGGGTTTGCATTTCATCAGCTGGCTTGTAGTTGCAGACGTGGGAGGATTTTCAACTGCTTTCTGTCCACTGTTCAGATTTATTGGCCTTCTGCATCTTGTGAGGTGATCAGCCTGTGACCTTCATTCAATGCACATGCAGCACAAGGGACCTGAATTCCCCCAAGAAACAGGAAGGATTGAATGATAATGGGAAACACGAAAGAAAACCAAAGGGAATTTAGCATTCTGGGGGTGGCAGCATGATCAGAATGGGAACCAAGAGCCAGTCTTTGCAATTGAAAGTACTCAAGACCTTGCACCAAGCTTGATGAAGCTAAATTGAACCCTGTATCTCTTTAGTGACTGTCCGTGCAACTTTGAATGGATCCTGGTACTGAACTATTCAAAGAACTGCCAGGCAGGGTAGATGGTGATGTTGAGAAATGAAAAGGCTGACTTCATTTTTTTCTTCCCTTGAAAACTGGACCATTGATTGTGAAGTATAAGAAAGCAGGCACATCTGTTATGCAAGATATTCTATTGTGTAATGGTTGAATGTTTGCTCAGAACTGGGCATTACCCCAGGACAGATATGGATGTTGGCATTCTAATAGCAACAGATGAGTGTTGTATGCTTGTTACAAGAAAGACAAATGAGTGCCAGGGCAAGATTTGTCTTTGTATGTTGCCTCAATTGTTCTCACAACATGACTTAGTTTGGAGGGGTGAGCTGCGACATCAGGACGGAGCACGTGCTTTGGATTCAGAGAATCCTAGTATAATCTCCAGCATCTCTTCTTTAAAGGATCAGGAATGAATAAAGAGCCAGTTTGGTGTTGTGGTTAAGGCACCAGGCTAGAAAGCAGGAGACCCTGAGTTCTAGTCCACCTTACGAACAAAGCCAACTGGGTGTCCTTGGCCCAGTGCCTTTTGCTCAGCCCTAGAATGGAGGCAATGACAAACCACTTCCAAAAATCCTTGCCAAAATACTGCAGGGACTTGTCCAGACAGGTGCCAGGAGTGAATTCTGACTTGAAGTTGGGAATGATTGAATGAATGAAGAGATAGGAAAGGCCTCTGCCTGGCGTCTGAAAACTTTTGTGGGTCAAGACTAGACAAGACAGTGAGCTGGATGGTTGTAGAGAAAATTAAAAAAAGTTTCTCTGTACCTATTATGATTTATCCAAAGACTTGAGATATGGGGAAATAAATAAAAGCTTCCTTCACACATATACATGCATACCTGCCATGCTTACTTGACTTAAAGGCTGGTCCAACTATATTTGAATTCCAATAGAATTGCAGTTGGATGCCCACCATGCATAGTATCACAGGCCTACTGTGCAGTATTTATATTCAGCCCAAGAGCATCAGTTATTGACTAATATTTTCTAATTTGACTAGCCATAACTTACATACTCCAAAATGTGGCTTTCTTTGTTTTGGCTTGCAGTGCTGTGTGAATACAAGCAATGTGGTCTGCAAACTATTGTTTATGGTTCAGTAATAGTAGTAAATTTCAGTAAAACTATTTTAGTAGTAGTATTACATACTACTGCTGTTTATCAAGTAGTGCATTGTATTGACTCCAGACTGTTTTCATTTATTCAATAAATCAGAATTTAAGAAAACATAGGTTAGCATGAAGTGCGCCTTTTCTCCCTTGAGGAGTTATAATAATAAACAGGCAGAGGGAAGAGGGATATGTGTGTAAAATGTAATAAATAAATGCAATATTTGATCCATGATTGTTGGATTCATTACATTTCTCTTTATAGTACCTGAGTTTTCCTTTAAGCAGAATAAGAAAAATGCAATTAGAGTTTGCAAATGCTGAATCTAATATAGCCCATTGATAAAATAAAGGCTGTTTAAATGTGTCATTTGTCCTGGAGGAAGATTATTGTTTCAGAAGATCTATTTAACAGGCAGCCTTCCTCCCCCCCCCCATAAAGGCAGTGAAATCCTGAAAGTATGATAGATGCATGAATCAAAGCAGGCTCCAATTTTTGCAAAATGTTTCTGCAGGTCTATTTTTAATGACCATATCATGCCTACAAATATCACAGAGGAAGAGGATAGCTATTTTTGAAGGGGGTGTATTAATCTTAATACTTCCTGTTCTTTTTTTTTAAAAAAACCTCAATGTATCTCATTCAGAATAACAGAATCGGAACGGATCTTGGAGGTTTTTCTAGTCCAACCCTCTGCTCAAGAAGGAAACCCTGTACCATTTCAGACAAATGGTTGTCCAATCTCTTTTTTTAAAAAAACTCCACTGTTGGAATACCCACAGCTTCTGCAGGAAAGCCATTCTGCTGATTTAATTGCTTTGTTAGGAAATTTTATATACAGTAGACAGTGGTGGGATTCAAATAGGTGAACAACCGGTTCTCTATGTGGATGTCATTTCCGGAAGTCCGTTTTGGGCAACAAAAAATTAGCTACTGGTTCGGCCAAAGTGGTGAGAACTGGTTGAATCCCACCACTGACAATAGCTCAGAAAAGGGAGAGTTCAGAGCATCTGAAAAACTAAACACTTCCCCCCCAAAAGTGGTGGCAATGGGGAAAATATTGATGGGATTATGAGAAGGTAATATTGATGTCAGCCATATATACATATGTATAGATGATTCTATAAGCAATCATACTTTAGTACTGCAAACCTGAATCTATGCATCCTACTAAAGCATAATATTGCTTGATTGATTACTGCTTGGGGCCATGTGTGGGGTATATTTGCCATTTGCAAACAATGGCATTGGGCAGGCTGCGGGTCCACCCCATGGAAGCAGTGGAACATAGTTTGCATTGGGGATAAGGGAGGCAGAGGACATTATGACATCATGCAGCTGACTTTCTATTGGTTATGACTGTGTGTATTATGGTGTCATTGACCAGATCTCTGTACTCAGAAATTTTAAAAATAAGTTTCCAGATTGTAATGTTTAATATCACCCCTTCCAAAGTACTTAATGGGAAATAGCTGCATTAATTATAATTAAATATAACATGGAAATGTAGCCTTCAATCAAGGAAAAGTATACTCCAATTTATAGTGTTGTATAGTGTTGAGGATCCAGGCTGCTGTGATTTTTTTTTAACCAACTATGGTGAAGAGAATAATGGCTCTGAATTGCCATGGATTCAATCTGATGTGCTGAGTTTTTTAAAGAGTTCTTTTACTAATTTGCAAAGTGATAACAGAGAGTAGTACAGAGTCTCTGGCTTAATACAAAATATCCATTCTAGAGCATGAAATATTTGTTCAAATATTCCACAACAGTCAGAATTAGAAGCAAGTCCTTTTTTCCATTTGGAAAATGCAGCAATATGACAAATTGGAAAAAAGAACATGATCATATAATGATTCTTCATCTTAACTCTGCAAATGCTTTGCAGTTCTTTGCATTTTCCACCCAAAGAATATTCCTCTCTCTCTCTCTTTCTCTCTCTCTCTCTCTCTCTCTCTCTCTCTCTCTCTCTCTCTCTCTCTCTCTCTCTCTCTTTCTTTTTCTTTCATTCATTTATTCATTCATTCAATTTACACTATGCAGAATATGTAAAAATTCTGGGAAGATTCTTCCTGAAACCTTGAAGAGGCTCAAAGCAATAACTGGTCTAATGAACCAAGAATCCAGCTGAATGTCAGGAAGCTTGATATATTCAGATACCCTAATTCTGCAAACAGAGTTCAATGTTTTCTCCATTTCCTGCCTAATCTTTTGACATATTTATTTTTGTTTATTTAATTTCTAGAGCCAGCATCCATTAACCACGAATCATGTCAGTGAAACTAACCTTTGCCTCCCCTGCTGATGGGGGAAGAATCAGCAGGAGCTGCTCCTTCGCTGGATTTAGCAGCACACAAAGCCGGATGTTGGCGTAAGCTTTACATTCAACAAACCCCTTTCTAACCTCTGTCTCTTTGGTTTAGATATTCTGTGTTTCTTTGGTTAGATGTTGTATGAGCAGGACTGATTGCAGTGAGTGTGTTTTACAAGATTAGTATGGGACTAATATGCTGACATGAGAATTATGTGGGAATAGCATCAGTGGCTGAACATGAGCAAAAGTAAATCTATATACAAAGGAGGCTTGACTGATGGATGAATGGATGCAGTTGTTGTTCATGGATTGTCCTTCGGGTATGAGACTCAGACTGGTTTACAAGTCTACTTTACATAGGTATAAGTGAAATCCATTCCAAAAATTACATGAGGCATTTGCAATACTATAATAGTCCAATTACAATATTACAACAGCCCAATTCCAATTATTAAATCCTGTATTGTGTGGAAAGAAAAATCTTCATCAGGGTCCAGTCCAAGCTGGGAATAATCAAAATGAAGACTGCTTTAGAAAGAAGATTGTAGTTTATTGAAGAGGAGAGCCAGACAGAAAGATGACTCTGGGAAAGTTGACCACATATAGTAGGAAGTGGTGGGTTTTTATACCTTCTTGAGGTTTTGTTTGGTTTTGTTCCTGAACATGAACTGTGACCTGAGTCTGAGTGTGCCTTTCTGATATTCTGATGGTGGTGGGTTAATCCTATTATGTCCCAAAGATCATATCCTGGTCCCTGGGGCTGGGGCTGATGACTATGTCCTATGTTGGATTTTTTGGTGTGAGGGATTGTTGATTCTAGGGATTTTTGTCTTTCTCCAATATTTCTGACAAGATTATCACATCTGCATTTCTGAGACCTGGTTTCTGTTTGGGGCAGAGGGACTGGGGGGGGGGGTTAGTTACTGCCTTTAAGATCCTTTGGGGAAATATAATATTCTGCCTTTTAATATTCCCAAAAATATTTCTTTCTAGGAAGGGGCTGATTTCCCACAATTGTTTAGACAGTTTATAAAATAAACAATGGTATTTATGTAATACACTGAGCATTAAACCATGATTTATAATTCCTAATGGCTGTGCTTATTTAACATACTGAATTAAAGTCAAGGAAAACCACACTTGGTTTAGCGTAACTGACCTAGAACACAATCCTGGGTAAATTAAAGTGCTTTAATCCAGACCTAAGGTAAAGAAACCAGCATATGATCTGGAAGAAGCAGTTACAATAAGAAAGGAAATACAATTGAAAAGACTCTGTCACTTGTATATTAGTTCAGATGGATAAGGAAGGTCTCTAGAGGCATCTTTTAATATGCACACAGAGGCATCTTAAGGGAGACTCAAAAAGATAAAAATGGTGGCTATGTCAGGCAACATACATTAAAAAGGTATGGGGCTTTGATTGTGTCATCATGGTAGCCATTTCAACATTCCCTTGTGAATGTCTCTATTTTTTTCCCTCCCTCCCTTCCAACCACCCATCTCAAACACATGACTCTGGGTGGTTTACAACAGTTAAAAACAAAACAAATACAATATAAAAACATATACAAATATTAAAAACACACACAAAACCATACAACATAAATAGCAACCAAGGTATTAAAGCAACTAGCAACATTCAAAATAGCCAAAGTACAGTTTCCACTGCACACCATAATTGTACATGGATTTCCACTTTCATTATAAAACGTAGACAATATCAAAGACATTAGTTGCCTGCAAGACATTTAAGTGAAGTCTGGTTGATTTTACTCTGTAAGGGGGGGGGGGGGAAACCAAGCAGGCAATTGAATAAACAGGCTAGAGGCTGACATACATAGTGGGAGTTCTGAGAACGAATGACGATGGGAAAGGAGTCAAACAGATGTTCCTCGGACTAAATCACCTCCAACCGGGTAAGAATGCTTGTAGGGGGAAAAAAAGTTTACTTTCCCCTGAAGGTTATTTAGTTACTTTCAGCTGTAAAGCATTAACAAAAACAACAATCAAGTCTTTATGCATTTTTAGAGGGGTGGACAGAAAACAAATATCCAAGTACTGTACCAGTAGGAAATCGGTTTGATTTGCATTACAATTACAGTATGTGTTAATATTTCCAGAAAATAGATGTGATTGTCATTTCAGCATAGATTTTAGGCTTGCCCCTTACATGAGATAATCTGAATAATACCTAGAGGTTTATCAAAAGGTAGGTCTTTGCTCACATCTAGGTGAGATGAGAGCAATTTTTATAATCTTAAATTAAGTCACTATTTTTATAATAACCATCATTGACTGGAGAGCCATTTTAGTGTAGCGATTAAAGCTAGAAAATGGGAGATCATCAGTTCAAGTCCTGCCTTAAGCACAAAGCCAGCTGTGTGACCTTACCCTTACCCTAACCCTTAGGCCAGTCACTTTCTCTCAGCCCTAGGAAGCAGGCAATGACAAGCTTTTTTGAAATCTTGCTAAGAAAACTGAGGAACTTGTCCAGGCAATTGCTACGAGTCAACTGGGTTGAAGGCACACACGTACACACACACACACACACACACAACCCTACATACCCACTTGTAGATTAAGCCATTCAAATCTGGATTCACATATCCCACTAAATTGTTTGTTCAATCAGCCTTGATTAAATCAATGTGTGAACTTAGCCATTATGTATATTTCATTTCTTTGTCCTGTCCCCAAAAAAAATTGCAAAAGGAAACCTGCTTTTCTGGAAGTGAAACTTATTTTGAATAAGATTGGGGTACCAAACTCTTCCTTTCTGTAGCCTCAGTGCTTTCCAGCTGTGTCTATTCTAGTAAGTATGCTTTGATTAACCAATAAGAACAACCTGATTATAGTAAGAGAACCAATTGACCTCAAAGAGAGAGGAATGATCAACTTTGGAACAAGCAATTATAGGGCTAAAAAGAAAATTAGCCATTGTCACAAGTAACTAAGGGACAACTTTTCTAAGAAAATCTTAGATTGTCAATAACTATTATTTTTATCCAGGTATCCAGAATATTCAGCTGTGTATTTTTTCCCCTGTTTTCTTCAATAAGAACTAGGCTGTGTAGAGGAAGATAATTGGGGTTTCAGTGGGTTTGTTTGTTTTCTCAAGTTGGATTTTCACATGGTTTTTGAATCAGTACAGCTTGTTCTGTGCTCTGTTTAAAGGGTAAAAAAGTAATTAGTTTATCAGAGAAGGCAAAAACTTAAAGAGCCAAATCCTCTGTAAGGGTTATATAAATCAAAAGGAAGATGGCTAAGTATTTAAATAAACTTAAGCTGATATTGTCTTCCTTTAAAAAAACATAACTGAAAAAAGAGTAAAAGAGCTGCTCTTTTAAGTAAGAAGTTTATCTTTTAATAAAAAGTGATTTGCTTCATGGATTTAATATATTTCCAACTAGATATGACTGCATTATATGTATTGTGATCTATTTGTTAGAGTTATCACCCATCTTTAAACCAGGAGCTTAGAGCAGCTTACATAGGACTCCTTCTTCCATATTATTCCACAACAAAAGCTAGTGAGGTAGATTGGGCAAAAGTTATTCAGTAGGCTACCAGTGGCTGAAGAAATCTAGATCCCTCCAATGCCAGTCCAACTAAAACATACGAAGAATGGCTATGGGACTTGGGTTTGGCTAGTCTAAAGAAAAGAAGAAATAGGGGACACGTGATAGTAGTATTCCAGTATTTGAGGGGCTACCACAAAGAAGAGGGGGCCACGTTATTCACCAAAGCATTAGAGGGAAGGATAAGAAACAATGGTTGGAAACTGATCAAAGAGAGAAGCAACCTAGAATTAAGGAGGAACTTCCTGACAGTGAGGACAATTAACCAGTGGAACAGCTTGCCTCCAGAAATCGTGGGCACTCCATCAGTGCAGATTTTTAAGAAGAGGCTGGACAGTCACTTGTCTAAGATGATATAGGTTCTCCTGTTTAAGTGGGGGGCTGGACTAGAAGATCTCCAAGGTCCCTTCCAGCTCTATTCTATTCTACATCAGTATTTCTCAACCTTGGCATTTTAAAGATATGTGGACTTCAACTCCCAGAATTCCCCAGCCAGCTATGCTGTGTATTACACCACAGAGCTCTCAACTAAGCTGCACAGTGGGGCTTATTCTCAAGAAAGCATATATAATAATGTTTTACATACTTACCAATGTTGGCTTTGTACCAACACCTGAATTAGATTGTTATTAGCCACATTCTGTTTGTTGGTTTATTTATCTGATTTCTATAGCCACCCATCTCAACAAATGACACTGGGTGGTGTACATCATAAAACATAAAAACAATTTAAACAGTATAAATTAAATATATATGGTACCAAGTAAAACTGTTACTATGGATGTTAATACAGCCAGGAAATGGGGCTCCTAATAACACACATTGTTGATGGCCAATAGTAATTCTTTGAGCAACATTATGTTTGCTCATGGTGAGTAGGAGATTCTGGACTATGGATTCATCTCATCTCTTAATCACTGTGTTATGTTTGCGCCTTAGTGATAAAACCTGAGAAAACAAGACTGCATGTATTTGTGAGGAAGTCTAAGTAACTACATGTCCAAGCAAATAGAAGTTAAATTGATCTCTTAATGATTTGGTCTTAATCTTGTTTAAGATGAGAAAATTAAAAAGAAAAGAGAATAAATTACATCATCCACTGAATTCATGGCTTTGTACAGAGTTAAGATTCCCAGTTAGTTTTAATTATATCTCAGTTAATAGTTCCCAAAAACATACATGATTATAAATCACTCGTATACTATCCAGTTACATATATCTTCGTATACTATACAATTGATTGGTTTACATTTAAGTCAGTTTGCCAAACTTTAGAAGAAGGATAACACGGGAAATTAAGCATATGAAGAAGTATCAGCAGACCAGATTTTAAATAATCTTCCAGTTGGAACACTTGGTGTTATATAATTATCTATTTTTAAAAAAGGGAGATATAAGTTATTTAAGCATTGTATCATTGGTAATATGAATGAAAATGTAATTTTAAAAAGGCTTAAAACTCTCTGCTCTGCTGTTTGGAAGATGAGAATTTTGCAAGGGTGCCCATAACACTTAGCAATAACACTTAGACTTATATACCGCTTCATAGTGCTTTACATCCCTCTCTAAGCAGTTTACAAAGTCATCATATTGCCCCCAACACTCTGGGTCCTCATTTTACCGACTTCGGAAGGATGAAAGGCTGAGTCAACCTTGAGCTGGTGAGACTGGAACTGCCAAACTGCTGGCAGTCAGGAGTCAGCAGAAGTAGCTTGCAGTGCTGCATTCTAACCACTGTGCCACCAGGGCTCTTAATATGATCTCAAAATTCCAGATGTGACCAGTGGCCTGAAACGTTAAATCCCATATTAAGGCAGTGCTCTGGTATGAAGCAAATTTAAAAAGTATAAAAAAATCAAACATTTCGTGCTTTCAAGAAACAATATTGACTATTCCCTTCAACGAGAATTAGCGGGATTTGGAGCAAAATAAATATACTGATTATTAATTAACTATTATTAATAAACTATTATTAATAAAGTATTTTCTAAAAAGATTTTAGAAAACAAGAAGGGTAAAATTATATACAGGGTGTCCTTGACTTATAACCATTCAATTAGTGATCATTTGAAGTTACAGTTGAAAAAAATGATTTATGACTGTTTTTCACTTATGACAGTTGCAGTATCCCCATGGTCATCTGATCAAAATCTGATCAACTAGCATGCATTTATGACATTTGTAACCCTCCCAGCCAGCTTCCACCAAACAAAGTCAATGAGGGAAGTCAAATTAATTTAACAACTGCATAATTCATTTAACTGTGGCAAAAAGGTCATAAAATGGGACAAAACTCACTTAACAACTGTCTTGCTTAATGGTTGTTTTTGGCTCAATTGTGTTCATAAGTTGAGGACTATCTGTATCTGAAACATTCAGGATAATCCAATAACATTTAATGGCTCCTTGAAGTTTACTAGTAATATTCTTGTAAACAAGCAATAAGCACAGATTAGTGTTATGCATAGCACATTGCCTATAGCAGCAGAAAACAGCTTATGTAGTAGAATATTCACAGTCTACATATAACTGCTTTTATCTTTCCCAGTTCTTACCTGTTTATTGGAGCTGTCTGATACAGCATGCTGATAGATGTGAAGTACTGTATTTGAGACTTTTAAAAATAATGCCATTATAGAGAAATATTTTCATTTGCCAAGTAAAATGTTAGTTTAAACATATATCTGTTTAGTATAACCAAAAAAGGAAATCCTAGTAGCTTTGCAATAAATTGGCTTTTTATTTCCACAGATACCAATTTATCACTGCAAGTTTGGGCAATGTGTTTTTTATTGTTTTCTGGTGGATAACATGTGTCTTGCCACTGCTTTCCTCCAGCATGTTCTGAACTTCTTCGACTTCCAATTTTAGTCCACAGCTGTGTTATTTCTTGGCAATCTTTGGTCCAAGGATTCATCAGGTGTGAACTTGCTTAACTGTTCAGAGATTTGTCATGGTCAGCTACAGTAGTTGTGCACCTGCAGCGATTTTAGCTTGTCTACTGAGACATAGGGGGCCCGATGGCTCAGTGGTTAAAGATGCTGAGTTTGTTAGCTGGAAAATTGACAGCCTAGGTTTGAGGCCTGAGCACTGCACAATGGGGTGAGCTCCCATTACTTGCTCCAGCTCCTGCCCATCTAGCTGTTTGAAAGCATGCAAATATGAGTAGATAAATAGGTACCACTTAAATGGGCAGATAACAGCGTTCCATGCACATTGGAGTATAGTTATGCTGGCCACATGACCACAGAAATGTCTTTGGACAACGCTGGCTTCCTCAGGTAAGAAACAAAATTGAACACCGTGACCTAGAGTTGGACATAACTGGACAGGAAACATTTACCTATTACTTAGACATAAATGCTAGTAAATCTCCACTGACCTCTTATCTCTCATCATAGAATAGGTATGAGAAGAGTTTGGATGATATGCCTATGGAGATTCTCAATCATCCAAGTCATTGTTGTCCCAAAGGTCCTTTTCCAAAAGGCAACTGGACTTTCTTTCTTTTTTTCTTTGAAAATGTTGTGCTTTTCATCCAAGAAGCTTCTTCAGTTCTGTTTGGATGATAACATTTAGATCTCTGTACATGCCAATAAACACATGAGTAAGCTCCGCTGAATATGGGAAGACTCAAGTTCTATGGAGAAGTCAGCAAGATCAAAATGATATCTATGATCATGTGATCAAGGCACCACTCCTATTTTACATGGATCACTTGTCCAAACTTTAGACAGGCAGGGCTTTGCTCACAGTTATGGCCACTGTGTTTCTCTTGAACATTTATTGAATGTGATTTGACTCATTTTACAACCACTTATAAAGGAAATAAAGGTTGGTGAATTGTCTCTCATGTTATCCTTTCATTTCTGTTTTTACAGAAAATCTCTCAGCAAAGGATCCACAAGATCCAAAATGTCAGTAAAATCTGCCAAGATGTATTCTTCTCTACAGAAAGTGGCCGTCCTCTGCGATCCCAAACCACAACAAGTAAAGAAGGTGTTTGAAGCTTTGAAGAAAGGGCTTAAGTAAGAACCATTTCGAAAACCAATCATATGTATTTGGGGGAATTTGCAATATTTTGTTATGGTTTAGCCTTATTTAATTTCACCAAAAGGAGCTGAGAATAAGTAAATGAATTTCAACAGTGGGATCATCTCTGATGTTATGCAGTATAAACATAACTTGATTTCCAGAAAATTAAAACATCCAAAAAGAGGCGGGCTTTCACAAAAGGAGGATGTTTTAGTTCAGGGGTCCCCAACCCTTTTCACAACTGGGCTGCAGAAGCGGCATGTGAGTGTGTGGATGCAGCTCCACTTGTGCATGCAGTGGGCAGGCGATCGCGTGCACACAACCACATTTGTACAAGCGGCGGGCATGTGTGCCTGCAGCTTGAGCAAATGGAGCTGTGCGTGTACACTTGCCCACCACGGGTGCAGAACTATCCCCTCTTCCCCCACCCCTGCTGGTCTGCAAAGCCAGAAAAGTTGGAGACTGCTGCTTTTGTTGTTCTATGTCAACAAAAAACAAGCTATCTGTACTGATGCTGAAAGCTTTACTTCACAGCAGAATTACATTGCAGAGATGCAAAGATGGGCTTGAGCAGTGATATCACTGAGGAGCAAGGTTTACCATTCTTTGTAAGGTCATCCTTGATATGGACTCCCTGATGAGATTGTCCAGACAATAGATTTTAATTCAGTGTGTATGTTTATGCATCTAAAACCAAATGTCAAATTTGACTCAGTATACTGATCCATAGTATAATTTGCTATATTGAAATGATTTATTTAGATTCAGATTTGTAGCTTTCCATTTATGATTTTCCTGTTTTTCTGGAGGGGGGAGACAGGGAGGAATTGCCCTGGTCCCATGCTAATTAGGGACACTGATCTTAATGTCATGGAAGGCTGAGCTTCACTTGCTATCTTATACATCTACCAGAGTGTTGAAGACACTTGGTTGCAGAACCTCCATTTTGTAGGCAATTCTCCATTTCAGTTCTGTCTCCAGAGACTGGAAGGAAAATTAACCAATGATCAACCTTTTCTGGTTTGGGTACATGTTGCACCAAGGTTAAGCTAAGTAAATTAAAAGCAAACCATAGTTACTAATCATAATCAAATAATAGAAATAATGCCAGACAAACCTTATTGCATTCTTTGACCAAGTGACAAAATTAGTGGATCAGAGGAATGCTGTGGATATAATTTACTTGGACTTCAGTAAGGCATTTGATAAAGTAGATCACAACCTACTACTCAATAAGATAGAAAAAAGTGGGTTAGACAGCATCACCACCAGATGGATTTGTAGCTGGCTGACCTCCGTACTCAGTGTGTGGTCCTCAATGGAACTGCATCTACATGGAGGGAAGTGTGTAGTGGGGTGCCCCAGGGCTCTGTTCTAGGCCCAGTGATCTTCAACATCTTCATCAACGATTTGGACGAGGGAATAAATGGAGAACTCATCAAATTTGCGGATGACACCAAGCTGGCAGGAATAGCCAACACTCCAAAAGACAGGCTTAAGATACAGGAGGACCTGGACAGACTTGAACACTGGGCACTATCTAACAAAATGAAATTCAATGGTGAAAAAAGTAAGGTTCTACATTTAGGCAAGAAAAACCAAATGTACAGGTATAATATAGGTACCTTGCTCAATAGTAGTAAATGTGAGAGGGATCTCGGAGTCCTAGTGGACAATCACTTAAATATGAGCCAGCAGTGTGCTGCAGTTGCCAAAAAAGCCAACACAGTGCTGGGCTGCATTAACAGAGGGATAGAATCAAGATCACGTAAAGTATTAATACCACTTTACAATGCCTTGGTAAGGCCACACTTGGCATACTGCATCCAGTTTTGTAAAAAAGATTCTGAGACTCTAGAAAGAGTATAGAGAAGAGCAACAAAGATGATTAGGGGACCGGAGACTAAAACATATGAGGAACGGTTGCTGGAATTGGGTATGTGTAGTTTAACGAAGAGAAGGACGAGGGGAGACGTGATAGCAGTGTTCCAATATCTCAGGGGCTGCCACAAAGAAGAGGGAGTCAAGCTATTCTCCAAAGCACCTGAGGGCAGGACAAGAAGCAACAGATGGAAACTAATCAAGGAGAGAAGCAACCTAAACTAAGGAGAAACTTCCTGACAGTTAGAAGAATTAACCAATGGAACAACCTGCCTCCAGAAGCGGTGAATGCTCCAACACTGGAAGTTTTTAAGAAGAGACTGGAGAGCCATCTGTCCGAAATGGTGTAGGGTTTCCTGCCTGAGCAGGGGATTGGACTTGATGACTTCCAAGGTCCCTTCCAACTTTATTATTATTATTATTATTATTATTATTATTATTATTATTATTATTATTGTTGTTGTTGTTGTTGTTGTTGTTGACAAATAAATCTGCTATAATCATATTCAGCCTATAAGATCAGTAAATCTAGTGGGTCAGCAGTTGTAGAGAACTCCTATTTCATATAGATTATCATTGGTTGATTAGATGCCATCAGGTTGTTGTCAACTTTTAGTGACCACATAGATTTTCTCCATGACACTATGTCTCTAACCTGAACTTTTGGGTCTTCCAATTGTCATATAATTGAGTATATGCATCTTGCTGCTGGTCATCTTCTTCTTTATTTGGCTTTTACTTTTCCAAAGAGCTGAATCTTCACATAATATGTCTGACATAGGATAATTTAAGTCTGGTCATTTGGGCCTCAAGAGATCCATTGGTTTTAATTTCTTAGCTGTCCTCAGTATTCTCAGGAGTCTTCATTAAACCAAAGTTCAAAAGTGCCAATGCTCTTTATCTTGCTTTTTAAAGAAAGGCATGGAATTCCTTTTTTTTAAGAAAGGAATTTTAATAAACGCTTGTCAATATCACAATATCTTTATATGAAACCAGGGTGTAACCACACTTGGAACACTGCATTTAATTCTACATAGAATACAAGCACATGCCTTCTTTTCCTACTGTATATTAAATAGATATCAAGCTATCTTTCAGACCTAAATAAATCATTAATGGAACGTTAACACATTTTGGATAAGTATTCTTTAACGCAGGTAGCTACTTTTATATTAGTTGGCACATTTTGACTCAATAAAATTTAAGGATGCATTTTGTACATCTATGTGCATAAATATTTAAATTAGACTTAGAGATCACTCTAGAGTCTTGGCAAAAGATCAAATGGCTGAATTTTAGAGGAACAATGGGCCTCAGGTGGATGGGTGGGACTGTCTTTGCTGTGGTTAAAGAAAAATCCCTTAAATAAGTTGGAAGAAGCATACACTGCTTAATATCAATACAATGCACTGCTCAGTTTTTGCATCTAGTATAATGCTGACTGCAACTTTTTTAAATACAAAAAGAGAAAATTAAGTTACTTGTGTCTGGTCTAAATTAACCCACAAATGTATAGGGATGAAAGCCAATGAGGTTTATCCTTGTGGGCTGCTGCAGTTTGTTTCTTCAACTATTGTACTGATGTACAAATGTGTCTATGTATGTATTTCTGGTGGCAGTTAAAATGCCTCTGGACCAACACAGAGTTAAGGGACAAAAATAAACAGGATAAGGCTCTACTGCAAAGCAGTAAATAAACAGATTGTTATCTCCTACTCACATCTGAAAACTAAACTATTCTCAAGCTAAGATCCCATTGTGTTTAATGGAAATGTGGTGAGAGACTAGAAAATGTCTTTTTTCCCCTGACCTCTGAAATGGATCTGGTCCATATCTATCTTTTCTCTTTAGTGAATATCTGGAAATGCATCAAACAGAGCTGGATTATCTATCAGAGTGCCACCGAGACAGAAGAAGAAATTCCAGGCTGGTAAGAAGCTTTTTTTCCCTTGAATTTAATATTAAGATGAAACTGAATGGGGTCACACATAAGTTGAGGAGCCACAACTGGTTTATTGTCTAAACCAGCCATCCAGATTTTAGCATTATGCTAAATCACTAGATATTATGGACATAATCAAGAAAGGATCATTTAAAAAGTTTATTAAGTTTGCCAGAAAAGTTTGTTACGGTGAAATCATTATGGCATAGTATTCCCTTTTCATTAAATGCACATTATGCCATTTTGGCTTCTTGAACTTCAGTTTGCCCAATTGGACTATTGATTTCCCAGTGGGCTGTTTTGAAGAGGAGAGGAGGGTCTGGATAGAATGTCCACTGGCCCTCTTCTCATTGCATTTAATGTTACTATAATATTTCTTTTGTCCATTGAAATCAATGTTGGATGGGGTTATTCTTTCCCATGTCCACCTCTGGAAAAAAAATGCTATCCCCCAAATATTTTCATAACAAAGAGATAGTTAGATCTTTAGTTTCTCCTTTGTGCAGTTTTCTTTTATGAAACCCTGAGACACAATAATCCGTAATCTGGTGTGAAATGCACATATTTGGCACAGAAAGTTCATGAGTTCATGCATACAAATAAGAGGAAATAAATGAGATTCTTGGTTCTTTTGCACAGAAAGTCTGTTTCTGCTTATCCAATGCTTTCTTCATTTCAGTAGGACAATTTAAGGTTGGAAGAGAGTTGTTTTATTGTTGCTGTTAAGATATTGAAAGAAGAAAATTCTTTCCAATGTATTGCAAATCACCCCAAAACTCATGGCAGAATCCAAATACTTGTTCTATTCATCCCTGTTGCAGTTTACCTCTTGAATAGTAAAGAGTAATGGAGTTTAATTCTTTTAACTAGGTTTTTCAAATCAGAGCCTCATTAGGTTGGCTTCTGAGAGTTGATGGGTAACATATCACAAAGTTTAAACTATCAAAAGTAGGTCTTTGGCTACCAAAACAGAAAGTTCCTAACTGCTCTGCTGTGGATGAATCACCTTTGTTACTCTATGATTATAAGAGCAAACTCGGATCAATGAAGTTAATTGTTTAGTCTTAAAGCACAAGGCAAAATGTGTTGCTATGCAGCTGAGTCACATATATAAATGACTTGTTAAATTACAATGCATTCTTTATAAATGTGTTTTCTGCTCCTTGCAAAAGAACTGGGCTCAGGCAGATCGGTTATGACCAATTGGCACTCTCTTGGTTGATCCTTATGGAACCTGGACTCCTTCTATAATAATAATAATAATAAAGTTGGAAGGGACCTTGGAGGTCTTCGAGCCAACCCCCTGCTCAGGCAGGAACCCTACACAATTTCGGACAAATGGCTGTCCAGTCTCTTCTTAAAAACTTCCAGTGTTGGAGCATTCACCGCTTCTGGAGGCAGGTTGTTCCATTGGTTAATTGTTCTAACTGTTAGGAAGTTTCTCCTTAGTTTTAAGTTGCTTCTCTCCTTGATCAGTTTCCATCCATTGCTTCTTGTCCTGCCTTCAGGCGCCTTGGAGAATAGCTTGACTCCCTCTTCTTTGTGGCAGCCCCTGAGATACTGGAACACTGCTATCATATCCCCCCTCGTCCTTCTCTTCGTTAAACTAGATATACCCAATTCCAACAACCGTTCCTTATATGTTTTAGCCTCCAGTCCCCTAATCATCTTTGTTGCTCTTCTCTGTACTCTTTCTAGAGTCTCAGCATCTTTTTTACATCGAAGTGACCAAAACTGGATGCAGTATTCCAAGTGTGGCCTTACCAAGGCATTGTAAAGTGGTATTAATACTTCATGTGATCTTGATTCTATCTCTCTGTTAATGCAGCCCAGCATTGAGTTGGCTTTTTTGGCAGCTGCAGCACACTGCTGGCTCATATTAATTTTTTTATTTATTTTTATTTTTTTTTATTAAAGAGTTTTATAAATTTTACAGAAAATAAAAGACAATACAAAAACAAAAAACAACATATACAAATAAAAACAAACATTACCCAACAAAACCCCCCTTCCCCCACCCCTACCCAACCCCCCCCTTCCCCCCCCCAGGGCCTCCCAGAGCAGAATATAGTCTTAATTAAAAAAAGTTAAAAAAAATTTATATTTATAAAAAAAAGAATATAAAATAGAAAATATATATATATAACTGCTGGCTCATATTTAAGTGATTGTCCACTAGGACTCCAAGATCCCTCTCACAGCTACTACTGTTGAGCAAATTTGATGAGTTCCCCATCTATCCCTTCGTCCAGATCGTTGATGAAGATGTTGAAGAGCACTGGGCCCAGAACAGAGCCCTGGGGCACCCCACTACACACTTCCCTCCATGTAGATGCAGTTCCATTGAGGACCACATGCTGAATATGGCGGTCAGCCAGCTATGAATCCATCTGGTGGTGATGCTGTCTAACCCACATTTTTCTTGCATAGATGATTCATCCAGCAGTGAATAGTGATTGGTCTCATGAAACAAACAGTATCACTACTTATAAAAGTACAAGGGCTGTGGAACAATTGAAGTGCAAATAACTGTAGTTTGCTAGTACATTGATTATGTGTTTCTGGCTTTTTAAAAATTCTTGTTACTCACCCTGTCCCTAGCCTTAAACTTGGTGTCTGAAGAAGATAACAGTAGTCCTTGACTTATGACCACAATTGAGCCCAAAATTTCTCTTGTAAATGAGACATTTGTTAGTGAATTTTGCCCCAATTTGCAACCATTCTTGCTACAGTTCTTAAGTGAATTGCTGGAGTTGTTAAGTTAATAACATCGTTGTTAAGTGGATTTGGCTTCCCCATTGACTTTGCTTGTCACAAAAGGGAATCAATGACCCCTGGACACTGCAAGCATCATAAATGTAAACCAGTTGCCAAATAGCCAAATTTCGATCATGTGATCATGGGGATACTGCAACTGTCATAAGTATGAAAAATGGTCATGTCACTTTTTTCAGTGCCATTTTAACTTTGAACGGTCACTAAATGAACAATTGTAAGTCAAGGACTACCTGTACTGAATATGTAAAAATAAGCCATATAAACAAATGGCATATAACCAAATAATATTTGAGTCATTACTGTTTATTTTTAGATTAAAAACAACAATGTGTGATTCTCTCTTTCATAGAAAGAGCTTGAATAGTTTGTCTGCATTTGATCTGTGCATTAAATTGTTGCATTTTTTTTCAGGGTTTCTACTATGATTTGGACAAGGTAAGAAATTGTCTTGGCAATGGCTGTAATGTAACTCTGACATACTTAAAGACTCCTCCTTAACTAATTTTTATTACCTGTATTTCTTGACTCTTTTTCTTCTTGTAAGATGATTGGTTTCTTTAGATATACTATGTTTTCTTTTCAGGAATCACATCCTAGGTATCTAGAATACATTATTCAGGTTTCCATGTATTAATTTAATATGCTTGATTCATTCAATGTGAGAAAACATCTGTTAAAAATGGAATTTTAGTGTTAAAAGGTGGAAGGAAGCAATTGGGACTGAATACAGTGAAGTCAAGAGAAGGAGGCTCATCTTCAAATATCTTTATTATGGTCTTTGATGAGCTTTAAGCCTCAGTTTAGGAATACTGGAATACTGACCCAAATTTATCTGTGTGGTAATGGGTTTTTTGTTTAGCTTTTCTCTATAATCAGGAAATTGATTTTTAGGATTCTAGGCTACACAACAGGAGCCGATGATGATATTATTAAAACCTGAGTTTTATATATTATATGAAATACAAAGGTTTATTTATTAGATTTTTATCTTATCTTTATTGCTTTATAAATAGCTTAAGGCAGTGAGCATACCTAACGCTCTTTCCTCCTCTTCTTTTCCCCACAACAATAACCCTGTGAGTGACTGACTGAAAGTCACCTAGCCAGCTTTCATGCTTATTGTGGCACTAGGCAGCACCTTAGCCACTATAACAAACTTCCCTCTCAAGACTCTTCTTCCAGTTGTGTGTTGTGACATCCCACTCCCCCCAGCCAGGGCTGGATTTTGTTTATTACTTAGGTAAGAGACCACCAGAACCACCTAGGACTGGGAAGTAAAAATAATACACTCCAGATGAAGGTAGTGACAAATCACTTCTGTATTGAAACACACACACACACACACACACACACACACACACACACACCAAAACAAAACCCTGCACATGTCCATGTAGACCCAAAGATTCTAGTGTGACTTTAAGGATTATTTTACCCCATCAAAGTTCCAGTGTTATTGACTCTTATTGCCACTGATTCACAAACCTTTGAAGCTTTTGTGACTACTGGTTATCTCTAGGACACTTGTATGGCTCTGAGTATCTCAGGCACCATTTTTTTTAGCCCTTTAGAAGCTTTTTGGTCACTGCCTCCTAAGTCAAGTATAGCTTTTCCCCCCACTATTGCTTATATCCATTGAAATAATGGTCCTGTAAATAAGAACACTTATTTATTTTCCAAATATGCATGCTACCAGGTCTTCATGACTCATGTGCTCTTCCCAGGTATTTAAATACTGTAAAAGCATTTATAGAATTCATTGATTGATTATGTATCATCAAGCTGGTCTTGGCCTCTTGAAATCACATAGGTAGATTTTCTCCATAATGATATCTCCTAACCTGATCCTTCAAGATCTAGAGAGAATTCTAGACCATAATAGACCATTAGAATGAAATAATAACAGCTTCTGGGAAATGCAATGTGATGGAAAGCCCTAATTCCTTTCTTTTTAAATTTATTTATTTATTTATTTATGAGACTTATATACCGCTATAAGTGCAAGCACTCTCTAAGCGGTGTACACCAGTAAGCAATGTATATATATATTTACATTGCCCCCAACAATCTGGGTCCTCATTTTACCTACCTCGGAAGGATGGAAGGCTGAGTCAACCTTGAGCCGGTGAGATTTGAACCGCTGACCTGCTGAACACAGTCAGCTAAAGTGGCCTGCAGTACTGCACCCTAACTGCTGCGCCACCTCGGCTCTTAAATCTCAGTTGGTATATGCCAGTGATAGTGATAACAAATGTAAGCAGGTATATCAATGCTCGCTGATAAGGGAACATCCTACATTGCCCAAACAAAGGTTTCTGCATCATGGAACTACATTCTATAATAAAAATCAGTGTAATATTTAGAATTGTATAAATAACCTCTGGCTCATCTTTTTCTATTCCTTCAAAGCAAATCCGCTCTGTTGAAAGATATATCAGAAAACTGGAATTTCAAATAAGCAAGGTAAGAGTTTGGTTTCTCTAATTGCAAGTTTACTGCTGTGGTGTAAGCAAATCTCAACAGAGAGTATTTTTTTCCCCCACCCTAGATTGATTGTGGGGAAATTGTATTAGGTGCTTTCCGAAAACTTTAATAAGTTTCCTTGTATAAGGAGAGGCCTTTTCTTCTCAATGTGTACATTCAGACTGATTATTGAACACAGCCCATGTTTAGCCTGTAGAACCAGTTTTCTGCCATGCCTGCTAAATTTCTTGAGTAAGGAAAAAGAAAAAAAAAAAAAACCCCAACTCATTGTGTTTTATGACTGTAAAAGGTGAGACAATATGCCTATCGCTTTCATGCTTGAAGGGCTCAACAATAATATAAGGCTGGCTCTATATTTAAGAAAAATGATCTCATTCAAGGAATGACACTCTTTCTATATTTTATATACTACTGACATTCTCATGTCTGTAGCCTTTAAGTGGGCAACCATAGTGCAACCATTTTAAAACTAAGGTACCTTAAATGGGCTCACTTACAGAATGCTTGCAAACTCTGGGACCCATTGAATGCTGTGGAATTGAAATTTAGCAAATCTGTGGCTATCTCAGTGCTCTTCTGGTGCTGCATCACTTTGGTTCAGTGGACCAGTCCTTCCCTAGACCTCTGGAAGCTAGATAAACTGACTCCTCCTCTAGTTCAGAGATCCCGAACCCCCCATCCATGGACTGGCACTGGTCTGCGGCATGCCAGCAACCAGTCCACACAAACAAACAAAATCCCATCCATGGGATGCAGATAGCATCAGAAACCTCTCCAGTCCGCGGAAAAATCTTTCTCCACAGAACCAGTCCCTGGTGCCCAAAAAGTTGGGGACCACTGTTCTAGTTGTTGGAGATCAGTTAGACCAGTGCCATCCTAATGGAGGCTGATCCTACCATTGGTTGCCGGAAGGCAGTCAGCTGCAGTAAAAGCCAGCAGGAAGTTGGAAGTTGCTCCTAGTTCCATTATCTTTTTGCCCTTAGTCATTCTGCTTGTTTGTTTAGCTAGATAGGGAAATATCTGTGGAAAAAGTGGCACAACAGGTCACTAGTCCAGGTTTTTCTATTATTTAAATCCTGTAATTGTAATGCTACATAAACAATTGTAAATAAAATTACCATAATTATTACTGAAAAGCAAACAAATGTCTAGGATTTTCCTCACATGATAATGATAATGGTCCTCCAGGGATCAAGTAGAAGGAACTCACTTGAAATGGCTGGTTGGCTGATAGACATCCATATGTGGGTCTCAAGGCTGAGTCTTACTACCATTAGGATCTGATTGAATCGTCATAGATAGTTGAAAAACTGAAACATTTCCCACAATTTAGGGTATGTATGTGGAACAACTTTTAGAAATGTGATAGCTTCCCACATAATAGTAACATATGATATGGCATATATTTGCTACAGATGCACACAAACATATATTTTTCTGCTCTTTTCTTAAAAAGATAGAAGAATTATATGAAGCATACAGCATCCAGTGTAGACTGCGAGATGGTGCTTCAAATATGAAACATGCTTTTTCCTTGTCTCCTTCCACTAAAGCATCAAGAGAGAGCTTGGTTGAACTCTACAAAAATCTGCAAGAATGTACAGAGGTAAGCCTAGTTTTACATTTCTTGATTCTACTTTAGGTTAGATATCAAAAGTCATTATGGAATCTGGTTTTGAGAAATAAGTGTTATATCTACATTTGAACTTCATGCCACTCACATTGGTTTGATTCCAGAGAGTTTGCATTGAGGCAAGTAACTGAGCTGGACTGCTTCCCAATAGACTTGGTGCTACTAGTCATGGAAAAGTGAAAGGAAAATTTGTAGAGGAAGCATGTTATTAATGAAAGGTGAAATATACAGGTAGTCTTTGAATTACAACATTTAGTGAGCATTCAAAGTTACAATGACACTGAAAAAAGTGACTTGTGACAGTTTTTCACACTGAAGATCATTGCAGCATCCCCATGGTCGGTCATGTGATCAAAATTCAGACGCTTGGCAAATGATTCATATTTATGACATTTGCAGTGTCCCGGGATCATGTCATCACCTTTTGTGATCGTCTGACAAGCAAAGTCAACAGGGAAGCAAGATTCATTTAACAACCATGCTACTAACTTAACAACTGCAGTGATTCATTTAATAAATGTGGCAATAAAAATTGAATAAAATGAAGCAAAACTCACTTAACAAATGTCTCACTTAGCAACAGAATTTTGGGCTCAATTGTGATTGTAAGTTGAAGACTACCTGTGCTAGATTCCTTGAACTTCTGTGAACGAGGCAGGAGCAATTATCCAACCATGTCTTATTTGGAAGTAATCTGTGGATTTTTACCAATCTAACCATTATAGTTACCTTTACCCCTAAATCTTGGGCACTGTATTTTCATGAAGTTGCTGAGAAATGTGTTAAAGTCCTTTTCCACTTGCAGAATCCTTTTCCCCATGAACATATTTAATCATGTCTTAATCCTTGTTACTCTTAACAATGCATGGGAAAGATAAAGCAGATAAAGCATTTTTGAAGCTTTTTAAAGGCCTGCCAGTAAAGAGACTACAAGGCTACCCAAATAAACTAAACAAACAAACAAAAAAATCTTTCCAGGATATTTTTTTAAAAAAAACAACTGTTTTACATAAGTGATCATGAGATATGTTAAATGATAATGAAATGGGTTACTATATCAGTGTTCCAATATCTCAGGGGCTGCCACAAAGAAGAGGGAGTCAAGCTATTTTCCAAAGCGCCTGAAGGCAGGACAAGAAGCAATGGGTGGAAACTAACCAAAGAGAAGCAACCTAGAACTAAGGAGAAACTTCCTGATAGTTAGAACAATTAACCAGTGGAACAACCTGCCTCCAGAAGCGGTGAATGCTCCAACACTGGAAGTTTTTAAGAAGAAACTGGACAGCCATTTGTCTGAAGTGGTCGAGAATTATCTGCCTGAGCAGGGGGTTGGACTAGATGACCTCCAAGGTCCCTTCCAACTTTATCATTATTATTATTATTATACTTCCATGAAAGGGCATTTCTCTATTTTTGGTTGCAGATCAGTCAGCTGTTCTCTTTTGTTCTCTCACAAAATTAGGGAGATAAATCAAGTAGCCAATAATCATGTTGAGAGTTTGTAAAAATCGGGTCCTTTTAATGCCCAAGTACGCTCAGTCTCATTGCTCTGTATTTATCTTTCAGGATATGTGTTTGATTGAGGGGACCCTTGAAGTACATTTGGGGGAGTTTCACTTGAAAATGAAAGGTGAGCTGAATTGTTGAAATGCTTGGAAGGAGCTGATATATGACATTAGTTATGAACAATAAATCATAGCTTCAGAAAAATACAATCTTGCCCCAACATAGGAAAAGGTGTTCCTCAAAACAAGGTGCTTCCTAGTTAGACTTTTATTATGGAATTGCCTTGGCTTCTTCATGTGTAGCTCAGGGTTGAAATGAGAGGTCCTTGGTGCTCTCTAAGCTTGGTTATTTTCTTGCAGATGTTTCATTACCCTAACTAGGTAACACCATCAGTGCAAGGAACAAAAAGACCAAAATACCTCCCCATCAGCAATCAGCATCCAGATGATATTAACTTCAGAATTAGCAATTCTTAAACATTTGCATTCCATTCACCCAAAAATGGAATTCAAACACTTTTTTAAATTTTGGGTTAGCACCTGTTGCAATTTGCCACAAAATTCTCCCCTGCTTTCCACCACTGCATAGTAAATATATAGTAGGTACATACACTTGAAAATAATGTTTTCTTGATAGCCATCAATTCTAATATTGTCTCAGTTATTAATTTATGCCCAAGCACATACTTAAGAGGTGGCCTGTGACTGGCAACAATAATTAACTTATCTCTTAAACATACAATTTAGTATGCTCCACAGTTCATGTTTTCCTTGGTCAATAAAACTCACATCTCGGGTTCCAGTTTCATTGTAAAAAGAGGAATTCATTTTCAGTATTGGCACCAGCAGTAACCAGTGTTCCTTTTAGCTTTGTTTTGGCCAGATCTACTTGTAAAAGTTCAACATTCTTCAGCAATTAAAGGAATACCTTCTGACCTTGAGATATTGTTAACTGGCATTTAGATTTCTGTATATTTTTAGCCACGTTGATACGTTTTTATTGGCAACTTTGTAGAACTGGTTTGGCGTTGCCTTCTTCTGAACTCTACAGAGATCCTTCTTCTGCATGGATTGACTTCCTCATATCAGCAGAGCTTTAGCTGCCTTTACTTCTATTATAGATTATCCTTGAATTCATTCCTCTCTTTCCATCTTACCAGCTGGGATGATCCTATCCTATCCTATCCTATCCTATCCTATCCTATCCTATCCTATCCTATCCTATCCTATCCTATCCTAGTGCTTTTGCTCTTGTTGGCATCTTGGGCAGACTCACTGAAAGCATAAGGCATCTTTTCACATCAAAATGTTAATTATACAAATGATGCTCACTTGGCCTTCATTTCATGAACTAAGACAGATTTACCATAATGATGTGCTTGATCATGCATTTTGGTATTTTGTATGAGAATAAAGTTAGCATGGGCTATGATCAGGAGGATTCATTTACTGGAGAGGTATTGAAACAGAAGCATTGGTATTACCATTTCAACCTCAAATAATTGTTGTGGCATTTAGTTGAAGGAATGATTATGTATTTGGGGATCACCAAAAATTTATGTTACTGGTTTCTTTTCTCAGAATCTATGAATTTAGGTTCTTACTTGTTTTTCTTGTGTTTCTTTATCCAGGATTGGTGGGTTATGCTCGTCTCTGTCCGGGTGACCAATATGAGGTATAGTATTTAGCAAATTATTAAAAACAGATACTTTAGCATTACTATTGGTCAGAGGTCATTTGTTCCCAGGTCCAACCCTTGGCATCTCTAGGTAGAAAGAAAAATATCCTGCCTGAAATCCTATATAGTTGTAAATAGTCCACATAGATGTTTTTTCCAAATCTTCGCCCCCTCAACCTCTTCCTGCTTCTTTCCCAAATATCTAGGCCCTATTAGCTAACCTATTTTTAAACATGGAACTTGCCATCTTCAAGGTGAGTACTAGACCCATGTTCAGAAATAGCCTAGCTGCAGTGATGGGATTCAAATATGTGAACAACCGGTTCTCTGTGTGGATGCTGCTTCCGGAAGTCTATTCTGGGCCTGGGCAACAAAAAATTAGCTACCAGTTCTGCCGAAGTGGTGCAAACTGGCTGAATCCCACCACTGCCTAGCCCACAAGTACAAATAAGCAGCACCTGGTTCATTAGGTAGTTTAACAGATACAGGTAATCCTCAACTTACAAGCACAATTGAGTCCAAATTTCTGTCATTCAGCGAGACAGTTGTTAAATGAGTTTTACCCCCATTTTATGACCTTTCTTGCCACAGTTGTTAAGTGAATCACTGCAGTTGTTAAGTTAGTCACACAGTTGTTAAGCTAATCTGGCTTCCCCATTGACTTTGCTTGTCAGAAGGTCACAAAAGGGGATCACATGACCTCAGGATAATGCAACCGTTATAAATATGAGTCAGTTCCCAAGCCTCTGAATTTTGATCACATGACCACAGGGATACTGCAATGGTTGTAAGTGTGAAAAACTGTCATGTCACTTTTTTCAGTGCTGTTGTAATTTTGAACACTAAACAGTTTACTAAATGAACTGTGGTAAGTTGATTATCTGTACTATAGGCATTTTTGTCATTTAAAGCAGCTAATTACAGAGAATGAGGTGGCTGGATGGAGTCACTAAAGCAGTAGGTATGAGCTTAAATGGATTCCAGAAGATGGTAGAGGATAGGAAGACCTGGAGGAACGTTGTCTATGGGGTCACGATGGGTCGGACACGACTTCTCAATTAACAACAACAATGCTTCCCTGGCCTTGCTTCTCCACTCTTTAAGGAAAACTAGTCATGGGGAAACGCAACTACTGGAAATCAACTATTGCTTTCCTCAACTTGTTATGCATTAAAAGTATAAGAACAGTAGCACTTGCTACTTCATTACTGAACCACAACAGTGATCTGCAACAAGGCAGCACAATTTACACCAGCATAGTTTTTTCATACTCAAGGCATGAGGATAGCACTTAAATACAGCTCTCTGGCTCTGCCCTTAGTTCAAGATATGATCCCAGCTATTGTGATTTACAAATCACTCTTATGGCAGGGCAAGTAATATTTTTTGCATTTCAGCAGTGGTATTCCCATGATGGTCATATAGAGGAGTTTAGCTCAACATGGAATAACTAAGGCAGCTACAGACTCTAATAAAATAACATTCAGCAGTTCAATCATAAGGGGTTGCATGGGCTCTAGAAGAGGATCTGGTTCTGCATACAATCCTGGGGCAATAGGTTGCCTACTTTTTGCTTTCTCAGTAGGTTGGAAAAATAAGAGGAGAAAGGAGTATTAGATAAGTTTTCTGCCTTGAATTATTTACAAGGTAATAAAGGCATGATGAAAATCTAGTAAATAAATAAATGACAGAAGTGTTGTGTAAGTGCTAAATCCATATATTTGGTTGCATGTGATGACAGTAATGGAGATGGGACAAGCTACAGCTTCTAGATGTTTCATCATGGTGTCTGGTATGGATCCTGAGAGTGATCCCATGTATGTTTCCCCAATTTGTTAGCAAATTTGTCCTTTGAGGAAAAGGTTGATGAATCCAATGCATCTAGGCATTTCAGTCTTTGTGTATTTGTCTAGGTTGAGTCTGTTGGGTAGCACTACATACAATGGATTCTTTTGCTCATTCTTGATTTAGAGGTGTCAAGCATGCTGTGACATTGAATGTGACCATAATTTCACCTTCTTCTATTCTTTGATTTTTCTGAAGGCACATAGATAGAATATCAACCTTTCTATAAGATATCCAAATTTGGGGGACAACATTTGGCTATGTTGTAAGTTGGGGTTCCAGTAATGATACAATTGGTTCAAGGAATATATTGGGCTTTTGTATTTGTATGATAAATTGTTCATGGAAAGTCTGTAATTTCTGTAGCTTTTGTTTTTGAAAATAGTCCATAGACTTGGCAATCCACCCAACCAAGCTGCAGTTTTAGTTCTCCCTACTTTCTCCTCCTCACTTTCTTCTCTATCATTTCTTTCCACCCAAGAGAGAAACTACAATTAGCAAGCAATATGGAGTGCACTCTGCCTGTGAATTTGCTGAATTTTTTTTAAGATGCATTTTGCTGATCCAACAAGAATAAGATTCCCATCAATTCCTGCAATGAACCAACAAACAGATGCATGTATGACAGATTTTCCTGTCTTTTGTTTGTATATCACTGTAGGTGTTTATACGGCTGGGGCGCCAGAAGTGGAAAATAAAAGGCAAGATTCTGACAGATGACAGTCAAACTTGGGACGAGGAAGAAAAAGTTTTTATACCCAGTCTTCATGAGAATTTTGAAATCAAGGTAAGACTGTACATGAATGGAAGGCTTCTTTTGATAGGCAGCAGGGGTTTCTGCAGGGTGTAGTAAAAAAAAAAAAGGCAAGATAGCAGCCATTGTGGTGTGATCAAAGCCCCACTGTTTTACAATGTAAGATCCACATTAAAAAATCACGCAGAGTTTTGAATGTACCATTGGAGCTGCCATCTTGACTTTTATCACCTTATTCTCTGGTTATCCTAACTAGTAGCGCTAAATATTTGGTGCATATTTCTCTCTCAATGGAAGTCTCATAACACTGTAAAACAAGTTTAAGATCTGACACCTTGGATCAGCAGTTCATACTTGACTGACATTCTTTTTTGAGATTGTATTTCTTGTTCTTTCTTTTGTGAGACAATTTTGTTTTCCCCATGTAATTGATGGAATAATCTTAATTGTGATGCTTTATGATTAAATGTTGATTAGAAGGGCTAAGTCACAAAAATTGTTAGGCTCTTAATAACTGAGAGCAAGATTTCTACTGAATCCTTATTTAACAAGATTTATTGAAGGCTAAGGAGAAAAGCAGTGTCGTGCCTACTGGTAAAGATGCTCACTTTCCACTCAGAAGGTTGAGAGTTCAATCCTAGGTAGCAGCAGATATTTCTCTCCTAGGGTGTAAAGAAAAAAATATCTGCTGTGAACTCCATGTGGTGACAGGAAGGGCATCCGGCCAGTAAATGCTCAGCTCCATCTAGTCACCTCGATTTTACCCTGAATTAAAGAATTACGGTTGTAAAAGGGAATTTATTGAAGGCTAAGAGAGAATGCCATAGAAAACTCAACAATCAATTACTTTCATTTTAGAACCCAATCTGTCTTTCTGTTTCTTAGGATGGACTTTTTATCTTCTTTTAACAGCCTCTTCATTGACCTGGTAGCTAGGCTGTCCTCCTGTTTTTAAACAATTGAGAAATGTGTAGGTGCCATTTTCAACTGTCTCTTGAATTCTTCTTGGGTTGGGAACAAACCAGTACTGTACTCAACACTAACTAGGGTTCACATTGTTATATTGACTATAGCTTATAGATTTTTAATTGGCTTGCTTAAGCATGTTGTGTGAAGTTAAGGGTGCACCATTTAAAGTGAATAAATGATTCAGCCAAGCCAAATCCTTTGTAAACAAGTCTTTCCATATTCTAAAGAAATATTGTATGAATTGGCTTTTTGTAAAGCATGAAAGATTGGCCTAGTGTGAACTACCAATTAAACTGATTTATTGCTAATCATGTCTATGCACAAGAATCTACTCAACCAACCATTAGATTATCTTGGCATTAGATAAAGGTCAAGAGAATTCAACAGGAATTCGATTTAATCGGTTTGTGGCTACGTAGATATATTAGACTGATTCCACTTCTGACTCGGCCCCAGATTCTGCTACTTCTACACTTTTGCAAAATTCTATGGAATAATAGTCTGCTTGGAAACTTTTACATTCTGTAAGCAACTGTTGCAACACAGCTTGTTTGCTGGCAACACTTCTTTCTTGGGCTGGCAATGTGTTTGTTGGGGGTAGGCAGAGCTCTGCTGGAAAGAATTCTGGATTCCTTTCCAGCCAAGCTTATGGAAATGTGCTTAAAATGTTCCTTTCTTCTCTACATGATGAGAGGTTAATTGAGATGCACTGTGCAAATGTTGTGAGAAAACATGCAGATCCTTCATTGTGCCAATGCAGATGAATCATCTCCTCCAAATTGAGAAGTAACAGAACTGGTTTTTCTACTGTTGGCTAATCAGAATTCCACATGTAGACACACTGTTTTAAACCATCTTTGGATAAGTTCACATAACATCAGCTGATGATTTACATTTGTGAAATTACTGTCACAAAGAGTTTTCTTGTCATTTCAAAACTTAAGTTTCATTAGAAACAGGCTGAGCATCAAAGCGGTAGAATGCCTTTGAGTTATGTAAATGCATGTATGAAGTTTGTTTATGGTTAATTTTACATGTTGTCTTATACTGTACATTAAGGAGGATAGTAAAATGAAAACACTTTTGTCATCTTTTTGTTTGGATGCTATTTTTTTCGGTGCTGGAGTGATCTATAGTTCATGAGATGTTTCTGATATAAACTCATAGTTTATTAACTTGGTGTCCTCTGACCCAACCAGTATATTTAACAATAAAGAATGAGAATTGCAGTGCGAAAATATATGGAAGGCTACAGAATTCATCCAGTTGTACATTTCTATAGAGTGAGTCTATCTGAAATAAAAAGAAAAAATATCAAGTGAAGTATTCTATCCCAAAAAAGAAAAAGACTCCAGCACCTCTCCAACAGTAATCAGCAACTCAGATCAGCATAGATTAGCTCCAAGTTCAACTACAGACCAACAATCAAGTAAGCAATACCCTAATCAAGAAACTGCCAAATAGCCATTAGTAAACAGCCCAACCAAAGAATCCCTAAGACGCTCCCACCCACACACACAGGCAAGACACCAGAATATAAACTGACAGCACTTCTCACTAGCACTGATGATGTTACCTAGTTAGGATAATGAAACGTCTGCAAGAAAACAAGCAAGCTCAGAGAGCATTTCAACCCTGAACTACAAATATTCTCCTTCGTGGGAAGAATTCCAATATGGTAATCTGGTTCACTCATTATGCAAAACCTTAATGTGATTTCTTTGGTTCGCCTTTATTGTAATTTCCAAATAATGAGTTATGGTTTGGTGTTTGTGTTGTGTGAACCCATCCAACTGTACTTAATTTAATTAATCGTGATTATGTTTATGCAATGTATCAGCCAGATTAGGGTGTAAAGTCAAATTCCAAATCCAGTTGGCCAAATATTTGCTCCTTTGCCAACTTCTATGCTATGTTAACATGATAGGAATATGACCTATCAATGTTCTCTGAGGTAAAAATCTTCAGACAAAACAATAGAGTTTTGTTTGGTTCGGCTTTCCTCATCATGATGTCATTGGGGGGGGGTCATTGTGAATTAATGTATCTGATTTTAATGTTGCTTTTCATATGGCTTTTATATGTGACATTGTATGTAGTATTAATTATGGGGTCCTTGGTGCTCTCTGAATTTAATTGTTTTCTTGCAGACAAACTAGGTAACATCATCAGTGCTAGTAGAGAGTGGGGTTTGTTCATTTTATATTCTAGTGGTTTGCCCTGTCAGCGTTGGTGTTGGTCTTGATGGTTCCTTGACTGGGCAGTTGTTTATAACCAAGCTCAGAGAGCACCCAGGCCCAGACTGTTCATCCCTGAGCTACAAAATATTCTCTTCTATCATTAGTGTTAATTAAATAATTTACCCACTCTACCACCTTCAGATACAGAATTCATATTTTAGAAGCAATTCCTGGATCCATTTGATTATAGTTTATTTCTGTAAAGAGAGGGAACATGATGGTTAATAGGGACCTCCTCTTAATTTGTTCTCCTCCTTGCTCCCTCCATTTAGGATTCCAATTACAGTAGTAATTTTGTATTGTTGACCCAATAAAGGATGTGCTTAGATTAGAATAATGACTAGTTTTATAAAGCTATACTTGCTCTTTAGGTAGTTTAGAAATCCTGGTTAATAATGTCTTCCCTGTAGTTCTTCATCTCAGTATTTTTGCTCCCAAATATTTGTCAAGGGAAAGGTATATGAAAAGCTGTTTAGATGATATTATTATATATTTTGCAGGTGACAGAACTGCGAGGACTCAGTACGGTCCTGGTTGGCACTGTAACATGTGACAGCATCGAATTCTTTACAACTAGACCACAAACCATCATTGTGGATATAACTGAACTTGGTACCATCAAACTACAATTGGAAGTCCTCTGGAAGTAAGAATGCTAATTTGCATGTTGATTGCTATATCACACAAAATGTATTGCATAACAAGCAAACTAGGCAGCAACAAAAATAATGTTACCTGCTTTCACTTGGTAACCCAACTAAAATTGAGTCCAAAAGTGATGAAATCATCTGTTTCTTAAGAAAAAATAATTCTTAAGAAGAAAGTATTTTTGAGGAGAATAAATAGTGAGAAAGCATTGGATCTCCAGATGATGTTTGAGGTATAGAGTCCAATGCGCAACCGTGTGCATGTTAAGTTTTTATTCCTACGAGTGGCCCATTGGATAATTCATTCTGACTATGTCTGTGTGCATATCTTACAAAGTAGGTGATGCAAAATATTCCATCATGACAAAACAGGCTTCTCTAACTGAAAGCAGGGCATTCCAAGTCTTCTGAAAGAAATCTGATCCAAAATGAGCCATTGTGATCTCAGATCATGCCATATGCACCATCTCTGGACCTTCCAGAATACTTTGAGTGGTCCATTTGGAGGTCCAATCACTTCTGCAATCACCTGTTCTGGAGTTGGAATAGTCCATCACAAAATATTTTGCACACCCTTAATACGAAGCACACTTCCAACTGGCAGCATAATGAACGAAGAATGGAGTAGCCCTTAACTTGACTGTTTTTGTTGCATAGCAAATCTAATACTGTATTGAGAAAGAAATGTTGGACTGTGGTTAAAATATATTGGCAATGCTCAGTGCCATAGACTTCACTGCTTATTACAGACCATATTCTGATTTAGTAATGACAGCCAGTCTCTATAAATGTTTCCTCTGGAAAAATGGATGTTTGGGAGGGAGAATTTGATGCCCCAGCCTTGTGGCAGTTTTCATTATTTTCTTTTTAAAAATTTCCAGTCTTCACTGTTGGTGATAATTCAGCCAGCTGCTCTGTGGGTATGGCTCCATTTTAAAATGCACTTTTGGGGAGTGGTTGTATGTTCAGTTTTCTAGTTCTGTACAAATAATAAAAAAAATGGCCTCTGAAGACGTGGTAGGGCAGTAAAGAAAAGTTTTTAAGATAGCACAGTAGATTTTTGGCTGGTGCCCCAAAGGAAGGGAAGGGAAGAACTGTATATATATATATATATATTGGCTTTTCTATATTGAAAACTCCAAAGCATTAAATATGCATTTAGTCATGGCACCTCTTTAGCCATGTTTGTCTCTTCAAATATTCCCGACAAAGAATATGAATGGTTGCCATGCTTTTAAACTTTTAAAAATGACCTTTTCTTCAACATTTATGGTCAGCTATGAAAAGATGGACATGAGACGTTAAAAATGTCCTAGCAATATTGTTGTCATAGGCATAGGAGGTCACATTTTCTTTCATAGTGACATATTTTAAAAGCTCCTTTCAGTAAAACCACGGGATTAATCTCATTCTCTTTTTAAGATTTATTTTGCAAAGAAACAATTATTAGTCTGTTTCCTTTTTTATGTATTAACATATATTTAGTTTTAGAAATCTCTATGACTCCTTCGAAGGTTCTGGGTATATCTACAGTATATCATTATGGATGATTACAGTAAATTCTTGTCTCCACAGTTCAAATCAAATAAAAATCCAGAAAATACCTAGACAAGTGCTTGAGTCAATATTTGATAGAAAAAAGGAGGGTTTTTTTTTAAAAAAAAAAACTTAATAATTTTGCATTTTACATTAGTCATTTTGAGCACTCTTTTTTCGTACAAAGATGAAATACAAAGGTGTAAATAAAAAGACTATAGAATTCATCAGTTGTATGTCCCGATACTTTTTAATTTAAGCTAAAATATATTACTCTTCTCAAAAAGAGGATCTCAACCTTGGCAACTTTAAGTTGTGTGAACCTCAACTCCCAGAATTCTGCGGCATGCTGGCTAGAGAATTCTGGAAATTTTCAGCTGCCGAAGTTGAGAGAAACCGATGAAAGTATCAGATATTTTCAGTTGGCTCCTGTCTGAATTAGCTTCAAATTGATAGAGGCTGTATCTGAAGCATTTATTGCAAACAAGCTTCTTGTCTGTTGGCAGGAGAAAGATCCTGTGTGAGAGAATTATGTGTAGCCAAGAACGGAACAAATTTAATTGTTTCTATTTCCCCCTTTTGGTGCCAGAAGTTCCACAGTGTTGTTTTGCAGTCAATCTTGATTCAGTTGGCATTTGCCACTCCTTTCCCGCTATTAGCTCTTTTGACTCAGAAGAGTTTCTGCCCACTCTCCTAAAGTTCAAATGAAGCTTTACTTATTTAGAAGGACAGTTTCCATTCTGACCTTGCACAAGGACATCTGTGGTAACTTTAGCTCAACTTCTTAATGCTGCACATGAAGAATGTGCATATTTAGGAAGCTCTCAAGCATAAATTAACAAATAAATAATAAGCTGGCCTTTGTAAAACTCTGCTTGATCATCTGGGAAAGGTATTATCAGAAAGGTGAACTGGGTGCTACATTCCCCCTCTCAGAGGCTTTTTCATCCTAGGACAGGGGTCTTCAAACCTGGCCCTTTTATGACTTGTGGACCAACTCCTAGAACTCCTCAGCCAGCATGCCTGGCTGAGGAATTCTTGGAATTGAAGGGCCAAGTTTGAAGACCCGTCCTAGGATGTGGTGGACAGCTTTCTGAATGTCAGGTCAGATACTTTCTCCTCTGATTATGTATGTATATATGTATGTATGTATCACATTTTTGAACCATCCATCTCCCTCAGAGAAACTTACAGATGATACCACTATCTGAATATTATCATCACAAGAAAAGCAGGGTCATATTTTCTGGCCATGTTTGATTTTTTTAAAAAATATTTTTTTAAGATTGGGAGTAGGAACATTAAACCTCTCATTTTCACCCTAGAATATTCCCAATTTTATTTTTTCATCCTTAAGGAGATTAAGACCTTCCCCTTCTGCCAAGCATTTGTGATTTGAGAAGCATAGAGATTTGGAAGTACACATTTGCATATATCAGTTCTCCATTTAGTAGCTTGTATCATCTTCATATGGTTGTTTATCTATTGGTGAAGCAGTACAACCCCTCTCCTCATCAAGCTTGGATTAGACCTCTCTGGCATTACATGTGAAGGAACACATGCAATCTGCTATTTGGAGATAGTTGCATAACTATTGCATTTATACAGCTGAGTATTTCTGGCTAGAGGGCACTCAAACAACTAAGCACAGAACAGGAAGTTGGATCAACCTGTTGTTCGGCACACAGGACGTGCACCTCTGCACAATGCTTAATTTGGATTTGGAAGGTATGCGTGTCAGTCCATCTGCAGCCATTTGTAACCTATGTTTATACATCAACCTCTTCAGAGTATGCGGCAACTCCTATGCAAAATTGTGGGCAACTTTAAATCAAACTTTACTCTTGTTTTGGCACAGTGATGACTGGATGACTCTAAGTTGCAAATCAGGACATGATTGTAGATAGCATTCTCTGTTTAGCATCTACTGATAGCATCTGCAGAATTCCTGTTCATGATGATTGGATTTCAAGGGAAAGTGCTCCCAACAGGTCTGGGAAAAGCAAGCTGGGAAAGGCTATTCTAAGGTTACAACAAAATAACGACCTGTCAAATTGGGCAAATTATGTGTGTGAAAATATATTTGGATAATATATTGAATCTATAATAAATAAGAGCATCAGTAGGATTTCTGCCATGTGATTTATGGTGGAAAAAATAACACGAAGATTTTTATTTTATCTTTTGTCTTCTGGAAAGACAAATTTTAAGACTGAAATAGCTTTTCTGAGAAATCTTTTTCCTGAAGTTTTGTTGTGTGAGCTAATACTTCCTAGGAAAATTAAAGACATTACTTTAATATTCAAACTGTGCTATGTTGATCTTTTGCAAAGTGGATGCATAAAGGGTTTTGATTAATAACAATTATAACAACCACAATCCCGAAATGTGTTGGCTTTTCTTGGCAGTTTGCTGGCTTTTTTTATTCATGGAAATGTTTTTTGTGTAATTAGCAATCTTGTCTTCTCCTTTCATAAGTATCTTTTTAGGCTAAAATAACACAGTTATAAAACAGTTAATGCTTATGTGTGCTTTTATGCATTCAAAGAGAATCGATGACTCGTCAAAGATTAGATATGTACATACAGCCCTCTGCTTACAGATTTATAAAAAAATTTTTACATGAATAAGATGCATTGACAGATGTATTATAATGACTGCATTTGCTCACTGCTCCCCTTAGAACCCCACTGGAAAAACATAATTTGCTGAATAATTCACACTTGGTTGGGGGTCACACCACAATTCTTTAAGTCATAAACTATAGTTTATAAATCACAGATGCTAGTTTACACATATACTCAAACCAAAAGCCAGTAAACAACCTTCAGATTAGCTCAGAGTACGAAATTTGCTAGATGGTGATGGTGTAACAGTTCTCATTATCAAAATTTGGTTATGTCAGTTACTCCAAATTTTCCTAGAATGCTAACTTTACTACTGTCTCAGATTTTCTACTGAGTGAGAATTAGGAATTTCTGATGGTTCTAAGTAGCCTCTTGAGGTTTTTATTAAAATTATTGAAACCAAAAATTCAAATTTGGGGAGCTATCTGCTCATGTAATATGTTACAGAAGATAAATTAGGAAATAATGGCTCATTGAAAAATAAGTTGGATTCCTGTAGAAGATTTCTAGCACTGAATTTATAAGGATGTCTGAATCCATGCATTTATAGACTGCTGCTGATGCTAACTTGCTCTGACAAGTACTGTAAACTACCTAGCTTAGCCAATTAACATGGGGAGTCCCATATAATGTAAAATATAGCAGGTAAATCACACATCGTATTCAGACCAAAATAGGCAATAGCAATGATTTACCCTACTAGAAGGCTGCATCTTGCACCAGGCCATAAAACTGTTTGCTTGCTCTTAACTTAATATGTTGTATATTAATCAGCCACTGTATTTTACAAAGCCCGATTTATTGTTTAGCATGCTATATGAACCCAGCCACTTGTGTTATTAGCCAATAAATCATTGTTTAAACCAGCCATAGATTGATACAATATGGGATCACTGATATGTGAAAGAGAGGCTGGATTCACACCACACGTAATTTTGCTACTGATTTAATTCACTCAATCAATCAATCTAGCACTATGGAATTGATCCAACGTATGTGGTCATATGCAACAACAAAAAAAACAAACAACCCTCATGATGGTTAAAATTGATACAACTTCACAAAGGCAAGTACAGCCACCAAATTTTGAAGTGACCTGGTCAAGCTTGCTCAAATACTGCCATTGTGAGGAAGTAGGAGACAGTGTTTCAGCTGCACTTCCTTATCTTGATGTGAGAACAGAACGGAATCAAGTGTGCTGTTCTGAGCATGTTGGAGGATAGTAGTATAAAAATGTAACAAATGCCAACCTTTATTGGATGATGCCAATCATGGAGTGAAAATTAGTTGGACCAGAAATGCAAACAGCAACAATAACTGGCCCTTTCAATGGCAAAGACTGAGCTTTAGACAAGACTGTGATGCAGTGCAGCTGGCCTGCCCCTAGCTATGCTCCTTTCTTCCCTTTTACACATCTATTTTCTCCCCTTTTCTTCTGATGGCTTGAGCCACAGCTGGACATTCTGTGTTATCATCATCCACTGATAATGGTAGCTTGATTGCCTTTACAAGCTATTTAGTATTGGCTTTCAGAGGCACTTGGACAGAGGGTTTTCTTTATGGTGCTAAATAGAGAAACTGAAGAAGGCTCTTGCCATCAAATTCCCACAACTTGACCACACACACAAATGGGAACTTCCCACTTGCAGTAGATTGGTTATACATAGAAAATATTTATTTGGTTTATTTATATGCCACCCCTTTCCTAAGATTCCAGATAGTTTACGGACAAAAAATGCAATAAAATTTAATGCAATGTAGAGAAAAAAACACATTCATTATCAAGGCTGAGTTAGTAAGCTAATATTCCAAACAAAAAGGTAACCTGGATATGATAATTTTAGTCACCTTGCAGAAAGCCAATAAAAACAGGAACAAAGAATTCAGGGACAAAGAATTTTTGGACCCAACATTACAGTACTATTTTTTATTTTCCTCTCCTGTCCTCTCCTCCCCTCTTTTCATAACAATAACATGATTTTTGGGTAATGTGCCTATGTGTTAATGTTGACTTCTGGCAACTGCCTGGACTAGTTCTTGCAGTGTTCTTGGCAAGATTTTGCCATTGTCTCTTTCCTAGGGTTGACAGAAAATGATTGATCCAAGGTCACCCAGCTGGCTTCATGCCTAAGGCAGTACTAGAACTGATAATCTCCTAGTTTCTAGCCTGATACCTTAAACACTACATCAAACAAGCATGAGAACAGCAATATTTCCAGATGTTTATGATGAAGCAATATAGCAGACAATCCTTTCTGATAACAGCTGTAACTCTGAAGCTCTCCTGGCTTCTTTCTGCTGGGACAACTAAGGTGATGATGAGAATCAAGTCCAGTTACTGCCAAATCTGTGAGTTTAGATGGCTGATTAATTAAGGTATTTTTTTTTTTGCCATGCTAAGATCTGAAGGAGGAAAAAGATCTTTGGTCTTGTAGATCCTGCTGTACTCCATCAGCCCTTAAATTAAGAGATAGGGCAATGAGAGAGACTTTCGCCACCTTATTTATACAACGGATTTTAATTTCAGAACAAGCATCCAGTTCATCTGTGTGCTTAATGCTAGGAAAATACTATCATACAAATGCACAGAATGGGGAAATATGTACAAAGGCTCTTTATAACCAATATGGTTTTTGAAATTATGAGAGAGGTGTGTGGGGGGGAAGCATGAAATACAATGAAACCATTAAAAGAGATGAACCTTAGTTTAGAAAAGAGAACATAAAGAAACACAATATTTTTTACCCTGGATGTATATTATACTGAAATGAATTAAATGAATGAATTAAAATTATTTTGAATAAACTGCAGCTCTAAATGTTGACAGTCTACTATCTACTTTGCGACTATATGTTTACTATGATTAACCTGGAGCTACAGGGGAGCTCTCAAATGTTGATATTCCTTCTCTATTTGCAGACAGAAGAAAACCATTAAAAACAAGCTTCTTAAACATGGTGGTCTCCAGATGGGTGGGCTTTAACTCTCATAATTGCAGCCAAGAGGAGAGTTGAATTTCTCCATATCCAACAGACACCAGATTGGGATAGATTGCTACGACCAAAACATGAGGTTAACACCATTCTTCAGAGCTTGACCTGCAAACTGTTATTCAGGCAGGGCCTTTCTAGAATTTTATCACTACAGATAAGAACAGAGATAGTTCACAGTTCCAAAAATAGTACATTTCTGGTCACCATCCAATGTCCTTACAACTTAGAAAAAAGAACCTTTTTTAAGACATCACATCTATTATTTTTAATATCTCTGGGCTGTGCCCTGATCATTTACCACTTCTCATTGTGGATTCTCTTGCTGGTTCTAACTGCAATATAACCTTCTATCTTGTCACTTTTAGCCTTGCCCATCTTGGTTATGCTGATTCCACAGCTCCAAAACAGACCAAGAAAGAAAAGATTCCACCATGATGAAACATTTAAAAGCCACTGCAGTAAATCAATGCTTATTGCAAAGAGTTAGAAGACTCTGCAGACCCGAAATAAATTGTTAGTCTATACACTGACACAACAGTAACAGAAGTCATGACCATTTTCCATACTCCTTTTTTATTAAAATAAAAAACTGGCAAGAATTACTATAAAGGTAAAACAGAATACCCAAAAGATGTGGAAGGCAGTTCCAAAGTAAAGTACTTGTGTAATATATAATATCCTCCATTTCATAGAATTATTTTCAAGATAATTTGAAAGTGAGAAGCTCCAGGTTGCATCTCAAATATTGTCTGAGTACATCAACATTATAAAACACGAAAAATCAAATAAAGCAGAACTAAAACTAGGAAGCAAATAAATAACATGAGAAATAGCTGGGAGAATAAAAAGAACACATCCCATATTACAAGAGCTCAGATAAATAAAGTGGTTTTAATCTGAAACTCCCAAAATGTTGGTAGCTGCAATTTGGAATTGTATCTAGCAAGTTGCTCAGCATATTCTCATTATCCATAATCTGTAGTCACAGCTTCATCAGATGTATCATGTAGCTAGGATATTTGCATCTTTCCAATGGTTAAAAAAAAAATGTACCCCTTGAAGGATTCCTACAAAAGCATTTGAAGTACATTCTTGGTATGTCTTGCAAGACTAGAATTGTATGTCTGTATGGGGAATTTGAGAAAGCCAGTTGGCAGAAATACACGAAGCTTCTTCTGTGCTTTGGCATAGAGATAAACTTGTGCTGGCTTTCTAATATTTATTGGGTTTTATTTGTTTGTTTCAATCCACAGTCCTTTTGATTCCGAGAACTTAATTTTGTCCCCTGGGTCCACCACCAAGTTTTCTGTGGGAAGTAGAAAAAACTCCATATACAGCTGGACTCCTCCAAACACTCCTAGCTTCCGAGAAAAATATTACCTTGTAAGTATAGATGATGTAGGATCTGTTTCTCTTCTAAAAGACATACCATAACCTATAGCCTCTTCTATGGTCTCTTATGTAATTAAAGCTGTTGAAACTTAAAATATCCTGCTAGTTCCTAATAGTTCTTCACTGCTGGATTGGAATGTTATAATAAAGGAAATCCAAGTAACAGGGGGAATATTAAACAACCGATCTTTTAACAGGAAAGATCCACTTTTGGCAGGCTTTGGGATGGGTAGATTTTCCTTGAGCTCTGATGGATTTTCTGATTCAAACATTCTTGTAATTCGTGTTAAGAAAAATACCATTCTTTCTGCATCATTAATAAACAATTTCCCTTTAGAAAAGGAAAGTTTCCCATGATGATGATGATAGTAACTTTGATGGTGATGATCATGTTGATGTAAGCAATATCTTGATTCTGTTGAAGCGTGTTTCACAACAAAATAGTTGATGGTGTGGAAAGATTTGGATAAAGGTTGGGGAAATGAAGAAAAGGGATTATATTCTTGTTTGGAAAAGATTGAGAAAAAAAGGCATCAAATGATCAGGAGGCTGGAGCAACAGTTACAGAATTAGTCCACCTTGGCTTTACTTGTTGGCCACCAACTTGGGTGGAGTTCAAAAGAGACCAGTTAAAATTATATTCTATAAAATTATCCATGGTTCCTAGACATGTAATGTAATTTGCAGTAGTTGAAAATAATATCTGTAAAAACAATTGTACTGTAATATGAGTATTAATAGTGTTGTTGTTCCATTGTGTTGGCACCCCTTAGTAATTTGGCTGACTGCTCTTGAATTTTTTTAAAATTCAACCAGTTGTTTCAAAAAGATTGTCGAAAGATATAAAATCTGAAAAAAGTATTCTAGGGTGCTATTGAGTCTTACAATAGAAAATTTTTCCCTCTTTGCTAGGCTAAAACTAAACTTGATTAGAATTAATTAATGAACCATGGTAGTTCATTATTCATAATATCTTGGAGAAAGGACAATGAAACAAAAAGTACATCATCTAAGAATGATACACTAGTCACCTATATAAATAGCGGAAAAAAAGAAAAGCAAACAACTGAAAGAATGTAGAATTAATATCTTTGAGAAGAGCTTTATTTTTTGTTAATTTTCATGACAGCATTATAAAGTGATTTGTCATTGCCTTCTTCTGGATATTTTGTTGTTGTTTTGACTTAGCTTAGTCTACAGCCTCAGTGTTATCTAAAGTTTTCTACCTAAGAATTAACCATGTCCAAACTTATTTAGCTTCTGAACTCATTACAAAACTTGCCATGTGCTGCCACCTTCTGAGATATATTAATGTAAAAGCTGAACCTAATGTATATGAAGGTAATTACAATACCCCAAAGAAAATAGCATTTTCCACCTGTTTCCCACAGTCTGTTTTGCAACAAGGAAAGAAACATGCAAATATTAGGGAAGAGACCCAAGATTCCTGCATCCTGAGCTACTTGGCTGACTGTGATTTTAACATGCGTCTGAGGAGTGTAAGTCACAGCCTTACAGAGACAACTGAAGGAAGTTCATTTAGTTCTGAAGATCAGAAAGTGACAGAAAGCAGAAACATTACTCCACCATCAAATGAAAGGAAGTTGCCATTGGCTATTCTGCAGAATAATTGTGCAGAAGGAGAGGAACAGGATATTTCAATATGCCAGTCTCCTGGCCACAGAACTTTAGATATCCTACAAGAAACACCCTATGCTGAAACCTCTTTAACTATTCCATCATATCTGCTGGAACAAGACAAAGATGGTGGTAAAACCATCACTCGGGACTGGCACCATCCTACAGTGCAACAAACAAAGATTCTCTCTGTTGAACAAAAAGACTGGAATGATAATGATGATGATGCCAAAACTACTGGAAAGACCAAGTCAATTCAGAAAATCCTACAGGAAGTGTTAAAATTGCTGAAGTCACAATGTCCAAGTCCTGTCCCACTGGAGGAATTGGAATACCAGGTCTTCTGTATCCAGGACAAATTAAAGGTATTGAAATCTTTCAAGTATTTGTATTTTGAAAAGGCTTGCTAGTAGATTGTAGGCTCTGAAATTTCCCCAAAACTTAGAATCCACTACATTAGGAAAACCTAATATATGCATACATTGTTCCACTTATGTACATACGTACAAAATAGGACAAAAAATAAAATAGTTGACAAAAATTAAAATAGTTTAGTTGACAAATACATGTAATTAACAATCAATTTAATTAATTCAACACTTTGGGAAGAGCTGTGGTGACTTCATCAAGGCTTTATTTTGCAACTGATATATTTAACAATGTTTTTATTGGCAGCCTTTCTGTTGGTTAAATATTTATTTTTAATGTGTTTTTGAACTACTGCTTTTCAGTTGAATTGGTTACTTGTATTTCTCCTAGGAAGAATTTTGCTGCCCAACGTATCTGTGAATAATCATAATTTTTCACCCTTACCTCACTCGTACTGAGAAAGGTTAAATTGCAATATCTCTGAGAATCTGTATATGCATTGTATTGTATACCTGTGGTGGTTGTAGCCACTTTTTTAAAGAAACAAATGTGATTAGAAGAATGACATCCCTTTATTTTGTTATGGATGCTTTTGAGAAGAGTGTTTTTCCTCTGGATAAAATGTGTTCCTGTATGCATAGAAATATAGTTTGCTTTGTGTCACCAACAGCCCAAAAAGTATCCTCCAAAACATTCTTCCATGGAGAGTTTGATGGTAGAGACCGTGTTGGAAAGCTTTGACTTCCTTAATGCTGACTGCAGTGCTGATGAACTCTCCTCCTTTGGAAGTGTAAGGACCTGCAGCACCAGGTAGAGGCTTCCATACAAGGTTATTAACTGCCATAATAATACTTTATCGTAACATTTTCTAGCCCTACACTGACTATAAACCGAGCCTTGAAAATAGAAAGCCAGAGGAGAGAGAAAAGATTGACAATATATGCTCAGTCTACTACTGCATGTCATTTTTACCTAACTGAAGCAAGCACTCCATGGGGAAAGATGCATAGGTCAGAGTTTAAGCTGACTGGTCTCTGTTGGGGTGAAGGAAAGAAAACATTTTGTTCCAAGCCAAAGGAGTTTTCCTTCAAGATTTCTTGAGTTAAATACTTGTATTGACAGGCCAGATTAGGCTTGTGAGCCGAAGGTTTCTTGTTCCTGAAGTAGGAGTTTTATAAATAAGTGAGCCTGACTGTATCACATGTCAAGACTTTAAAATGGAGTTGGCCAAATTCATGAAGGTTTTCAGTATCCACAGTTGAATGTTCAGAGGCATTGTGCTACCAAATACGAGTTGCTGGGAGGGCAATTGGCCTTATGCTACACTTCTAAACCTATTTGAAGCATCTGGTTGGCTATGGTAGCAATCAGCAACCATCTCTGATCTGATGTTTTTGTGCTGGATTTGGACTGAAGTTCTCAAGGCTGGCCAAGAGTCCATTTCTAGAAGATACCAAGGTGGTGAAGGCTGAGATGGACCTTGTCTAGTAAACCCCTTTTCAGTTAGCCAAGCTCTTCTGCTGTTCTATTCTTTTTCAACATTGCTACGTTCTTTTAATTTTTATGTCTCAGAAACATTTAATCTGATTTCTATCACAATATAAAGGGAATACAGATAGTCCTTGACTTATAACAGTTGGTTCAGTGACAAAGTTACAATGGTACTGAAAAAAGTGACTTACGACCATTTTTTATACTTATAACCTTTTCAGCATCTCCAAAATTCAGACACTTGGCAACTGGCTCATATTTATGACGGTTGCATGTGTCCTGGGGTCACCTTTTGTGACCTTCTGACAAGCAAAGTCAGTGGGGAAACCAGATTTACTTAACAGCCATGTTACTAACTTGATAACTGCAGTGATGCATTTCACAACTGTGGCAAGAAATATTGTAAAATGGGGCAAAATCCACTTAACAACTGTCTCACTTAGCAGTAGAAATTTTGGGCTCAATTGTGGCCGAGGACTACTCTAGTGTAAACAAGAATAGTATGAAAATGTAGTTTGCTCCACTCCTGATATGCAATTATGATTTATTACATGCTTCTTCTTTCCTCTTGTGCTTGACACCAGTATCTACAATGATGCCACTCTTTCTTCTCTGTGCTGTGATGCTCACATGGAAAAGGAGTTAACCACAGGAAGTGATGACCTGGATAGACTTCTGGAAATTCACCTGCAACTCTGCCGGATCCTTCTGCAGGTGAGGAATACAGTTTTAATCCAGCCAGCTAGAATCTTATGCTGTTTTTATTCTCAGAGAGCGAGAGGCATAGCATAATACAGTAAATTTATAATCTGTGTTGGGGAGTTTTCATGGTCTGCAAGCTGCTGAACCATTCAGAACTCATTGCCAAATGTAAACATGTATGAATGTGACAAAAATATTTTGTGGTATTAGATCAAAGAGTTGGCCAGTGTAGTATTTATTTTCCATGCAATAACCAAACAGTTGTCTCTGGGAAAGCCCAAGCAGGATGTTAAGTCATAACATTCCTGCACATTTAATGTATACATGTGTTGCTTCCAATATATGTATATACACCACATGTTCACTAACTGAGCATTTCGTGGCTCATTTTGTTGATAAAGTTGTCCACTCTGACCTGGAGGGAGATAATTTCTTAACATGACAGAAGTGACATATTGAAACATTTTTTTCTGGTGGCTGGGGAGGGGGTGCTTTTTTCTTGAGTCTGAGGGTCTCAAGGAGGAGCTCTGATCTTAGCTCTTTCGCTTGGACTTCTTCCTGGCCAGGTTAATGAAAAGGCCCAGGAGAAGACTGGGAGCTGGATTCAGGCAAATAATCAGTGTTGTTGTTGTTTTTTTTTGGGGGGGGGAAGGAAATGTTTAGCAGTCTTGAAAGACACTTCAAGGAGCCAGATCTGGACAAATAACTAATGTCTCATCTCCTACTTTCTTTTGGGGGGAAGGTTCTTGAGAAAGTGGTGGTTTGCGGTCTCAGAGGGCTCTGGTGGATACATATTGTCCAGACCTGTGACAACCTGGACATTTGCAATGATCGTTCTCATGAACCATGGACGGACTTGTGGAGTTGGGGGGTGAGGGGAGAGTGACTGTTTTTATACTTTTAGACCTCTCAGCAGCTTTTGATACTGTCAATCGTCATTCTGGACAACCTGCACGAGTTGGGAAATGAATCTGTGGAGGGGAAATCGAAATACAGATTTAATCCAAGCAAGATGGAGAGGCTGTTAGTTGCAAAGCCCTCTGCTTCCAGGACTGCATCACTTCTCATGGGGCTGTGCTCCCTCAAAAGAGACCATTTAGAGTCATAGCTTTAGCAAAAATAATCTTGAAACTTATGGGTAGGGAGATCTTTGCTCAGCCTTGGTTGGTATATCAAGTGTTAATGAATTGTCAGAATTCTACATTATATTTTGTATTTATTTATTTGTTTGCTTGTTATTTTTATATAGCCATCCATCTCAAATAAATGATTCTAGAATAGTTCAAAGCAATATAAAAAGACAGAGCACAACATAAGAGCATATAAAGCATATAAAACCGTTTTTTTTCCAATATATATAATCTGCAGCTAAAGTATAAAGCAGTCACCAACACTTAACATAATTCCTGTACAGGCTTTACTATACATCCAGATCTCCAGTCCTGGTGGGAATGCCATATTTGTAAGATTTACAAAAGGTCAATCAGGTAAAAGGCTAATCTGATCTTGGGGGGGGTGACATTCCAAAGGGAACACAATTTATTGGAGGCAGCAGATCAATCAGGTGGGTGGGTGAGAAATAGTCAGTCAGTCAGAAGGAACTGGATAGATAAATTAACTGGAAAGCATCACCTTCCTCATCTGTCAGTAATGGGGTCAGACCTGTCAATTGGCTAGACCAATATTTTTTCAGTTACAGATAGCCCTCCACTTACAACTGTAACTGAGCCCAGAATGATGGTCTTAAGTTGTGGTGGTCATTAAACAAGTCACCACATGATCACATCCAATCCTCTGATCTTTTTAACAGGGATCATTAAATTAATGCTGCAGTTGTTAAGTAAATGCCACATTTGTTAACTGTACACTGGGCATTAAGCAAGTCTGTTTTCCCCAATGGACTTTTTTTTTGCCAGAAAGCAGAAGTATATGCAGGAAGTATATGCTGGCACAAAATGTCAAAAATTGTAGTCACATAACTCTGGGATGCTAAGCAATCGGTCATTAAGCAAGGACTATCTGAAATGAAATAATCTGAAAGATTGGCTTGGAACTTTGAAAATAAGAAACTAAGCTGTTCTGCATGGATCATAGCTCTCTCTAGTCTACTCTACTTGGCAGCTGGAGATGCTTGGAATCAGAATGGGAACTTTCAGAACCAATCCTGTATGAGGGACCTCCATTCCACAATTGTCAAACAGCTATAAGCCCTGGTGGCGCAGTGGTTAGCATGCAGTATTGCAGGCAAACTCTGTCCACAGTTTGGAGTTCAATCCTGACCAGTTCAAGGTTGATTCAACCTGCCATCTTTCCGAGGTTGGTAAAATGAGGATCCAGCTTGTTGGGGGCAATATGTTCACCTTGTAAACCCCTCAGAGAATGCTGTAAAGCACTATGGGGTAGTATATAAGCCTTAAGTACTGTTGCCATTGCTATATATTTTAGGGGTATAATTGATGGTAACCAATTCTGTATCTAAGGTTGTGATAGAGAGATACTGCTTTCTCCATATTTGCTTATGCTGTAGGAGCAAATACAACTCTTGCCCATCCAGTGGGTGTCCAGAATGCTGAGTCTGCATGCTAGTTATCCACAGGATCACCACAATCCCCAGAGGAGAGAGACCAATTTCTGGAAGAGCCCTGATGCTTTGACACCCGGAGGTCCTAGTCATGCTGATTCACAAACAGATCCTCTGGCTAAAAGTCTGTTGCCGTCAGCATATTTTCAATTATAGGAGTCAAATGCTCCTAAGCAAATTTAACAGTCAAAGAGCAGGAATAAATGTTGAGTTCTTTCAATATAAACAGTGGAATCTCCCAAGGATTTATAAAGAGTTGAACCGTCCAAAGATTTGTAAAGGAAGAAACGCCTCTTCTCGCATTCAATAGCATCTGGAGTTAACTATAAACATCATTTTGCTGTAGAAACGGGTGATCAAAAGTGATTATAACTATGGTTGTGCAAACAAAAAGGAATTCTGAAAGGATTTGTCTAAACTAATGCTGTGCCAAAATCCACCTTGTAGTCTCTCAAAAGTTATCATAAGAACCGTCTGCTTTTTTAATTGTGAATTTCTCTTCTAAACTGCAGACTTTTTCAGAGAGTAGAACATTCACTCACTTCCCTTAGCTCTCCTGCAATTATAGATGTACAAGAACACCCAATTCTCTTAAGAACATTTCAATGAAATTCCATTCTTTGCGGGAGGGGGGAGGAATCTCAGTTGAAATTGGTAGAAAAAAATGTATAACAATACTTATAATAATAATAATAATGATAAAGTTGGAAGGGACCTTGGAAATCATCTAGTCCAACCCCCTGCTCAGGCAGGAAACCCTACACCATTTCAGACAAATGGCTGTCCAGTTTCTTCTTAAAAACTTCCAGTGTTGGAGCATTCACTGCTTCTGGAGGCAGGTTGTTCCACTGGTTAATTGTTCTAACTGTCAGGAACTCCTTAGTTTTAGGTTGCTTCTCTTTTGGTTAGTTTCCACCCGTTGCTTCTTGTCCTGCCTTCAGGCGCTTTGGAAAATAGCTTGACTCCCTCTTCTTTGTGGCAGCCCCTGAGATATTGGACCACAGGTATCATGTCCCCCCTCGTCCTTCTCTTCGTTAAACTAGACATACCCAATTCCAGCAACCGTTCCTTATATGCTTTAGCCTCCAGTCCCCTAATCATCTTTGTTGCTCTTCTCTGTACTTTTTCTAGAGTCTCAACACGAAAGTGCCTGTAATACCTTGGATTGATAAAATGAGTGTTAAATTGGCATATGTTTTCCACCAGAAGCAAAAGTGATGCCGATTGGAATACAAAATCAGAGTTCCATATCTGTCTCATGTATCTAAGTTGGCAGAGGATAAGCAGGAAAAGGATTTTGTGGGCATGCTCAATAATTTGAGAAAAATATCATCGATAAATACTGTGGTGGAAAAAAAATATAGGCAGTCTTAAATTTACAACCATTCATTTAGTGACCGTTCAAAGTTACAAAGGAAAAAAGTGATTTACGATCATTTTTCACATCATCATTGCAATATCTTCATGGTCACATGATCAAAAATCGAAGGCTTGGCAACTGGCTCATAACTATGACAGTGGCACAGTGTCCTGGGGTCATGTAATCCCCTTTTACAATTTTCTGACAAGCAAAGTCAACAGGGAAGCCAAATTCACTTAACAACCATGTTACTAATATAACAACTGCAATAGTTTGCTTAATAATTGTGGCAGGAAAGATCATAAAATGGGGCAAACCTCACTTAACAACTGGCTTGCTTAGCAATTGAAATTTTGGGTTCAATTGTGGCTGTAAGTCAAGGACTATCTGTATTTGGTGTTCAAGTTCACGAAAAAGGAAAACAAAACTGTTGTTATCATAAAAAGATAAAATCTTCTTCAAGAAAAGTTTGATTCTTGGTGATTGAATGGAGTGGTTTGCCATGGCCACCTTCCAGGTGTTTTTCTGCTTCCCCCAACACAACTACTTTCCTGAGATTTCCTGGTTATTTCTCATCCTAGGCTAACTAGTTGTCTTCTTGCTTAGGTTTTCCAAGAGTAGACAAGATCAGCTAAGTGCTACTACCTAATGTGGTAAATATCTTTGTACAAAGATAAGATCTGACTACATTTGGAATATTGCATATATTGTGTCTCTCTAACCTCCCAAAAAGATATTTATTACCGGCAGAGGTACATAATGTTGAAGTTATACCTCTGAGCATTTTTCTTTGGCCCCATAGCATAGCAACTACAAGAAGAAAGTGATTTCAATTTCCAGGGCTTTTTTTGGATGGAATCTTGTAGGGTAGGCAAGGCGGGTTGTATGATGTGTGTGAGTTCCGGCACCTTTTTTTTTTTTTTTTAAGAAAAAAAGCACTGTCAATTTCTATCCAGGGTCAATAATGGTAGGCAAATTTTATTTCTGATGGCCTTGAGGAATATTTGCAGCCAGTTCAGCTGATTTTGTGCTTAGTCAAAATTACTGAGTATTTATACCTTTTTTTGTCTTCCTCCTTTTGTTTCCAGAAACTCCTAAAGCCAAACTTAGCTCCAATTGTCCAGGAGAACCTTTTGAAAGAAGTGTCACAACAGAAGCATGTCTTAGAAATAATTTCTGCTCTGGCTACTCCTGTGCCACGGAAAATTACTTCTGTTGAGGAGAGTAAGTTACATGCATCCAGGACTTGACAGTTGAAACAGACTATAAATGATGTCTAACTTTTCTCTAGAGTCTTCAACCTCACTGGTTCCCAACTGGTTCCCTAATGTGTTCTCATTAGATCATCATCAAAATAAGGAGCACAGTGGCTCAGATGATTGGGATGCTGGACAGGAGTTTAGCAAGCCTGCGTTTGAGATCTGAAAGCTGCTGTGGGGCGGGATTGAGCTCTTGTCCATCACTCCAACTCCTGCAGGAGACAGGAGCCCCCAACTCGGTGTCCTCTGGGCAACTGTAATGTCACCGGCTAATCCTTTCAACCCTGAAGCGCTTTGGTGCTTCTGACATGAGTGCAATATATGTTGTGTGGGTGTCATACTTTGTTTGATTCTGATTTTCCTCTCCCTGGCCAATAACACCTAAAAGACTCCAAAATTAAAGAATACTTAACAAATTAAAAATAATTTTGGAAGGTTGAAATCTTAGGAGATTTCAAATGTCATGTCTTAGCATTCTCATCTAAAAACTTAAGCGGGCATAAGATTTTAGGCAAGAACACTAAGCTCTCATGACATTTTATTAAATTTATTTTTTTTTTAACTTTATTTTATTACGCTGCTTGCATATGGACCACCTGCAGGTTGATTTATTCATCATGCAGTCTGATTTATTTATCCAAGCCGTGCACTGACAGAAAAAGTCTTTGGCTCAATCATTGCTGTCTTCTAAATCAGAATTCAGGGCTAAATAATCATATGCATAGTTGAACAACAGAACGAATGAAAAGCTATCCCTGTTATTGTTGTTGCATTCAAATGAGAGCTGGGAAGGTGGCAGATCTAACTATAGGAGTCAGGTTGTGCTCTCTGGAATCTTATCTGTCAGCGTTGATCATCTCAATATTTACTATGGCTTGCAGTTTGTATGACCGCATATGGAAAAAGCATGTGAAATCTGCAATGTCAAAAGCTAGAATGAGGCTCAAAGACTATGTGGTTTTTGCAACTACAGATGTCTTCATAACGAACAGATTTTTATTTGTTTCTTTGCTGCTGGGTGGGTTGCTTTCTCAGTTGTCTGGCAAAACATTTGAGACATGTCTCTCTTCTTGTCGTATAACCACTTGAAATTCTGACTCATGGGGCGGGTAGTTGAAGTGAATAAAAGACTAGTAGCATAATTTAGTAACATATCAAGCCCAGGAAATCTGGTGCCTTGCAGATCTTTAGGGTTGCAAATCCCACAGTCCCCTACTGTTGATTATGTTGGCTAGTGCTAATGAGAGTTGAAGTCCAAAACATCTGGAAAGCATTAGGCTACCTATTTTTGATCCACACATTCCTATTTTATGTCTTTGCATGTTTGCATATATTCAAAATTGTAGTGGTTCATCTTGGCATGATCTGGTATTCCATTTCCAGCTGAAAGAGAGTTCTGATTCCATTGCTAACTTCCAAAGCTGTCTTTTGCAGTTATCCAAAAAGCCCAAAAGCCAAAACACTGCTTGAAGATCTGGAGTGAGTGTACTGAACAGGGAAGCATATTATTCTGTCCAGCAGAAAGATTTTGGATTCCTTTGAAATATATACTGATGTTCAAAACAAAAGAGAAATATCGACATCATCTAGAAAAAGGTACATTTTAATGTGTGGGTCATTAATTGTTTCAGTTTACTGTAATGTTTATGTTCAGAACTAATAAGGTTTATTCTAGTTCCAGGTCTCAGAGTTAAATCGCTGAAAATTTTGCATGAGTCCAAGGTTTATAACACTGAAGCCTTTTCATATATTGATATAGACGTTCCTAATGAGTTAATAAGGGGAGAAAAAAAAGGAAGAATGTCACATTAAAAAAATATATTACAGGTAGTCCTCACATTGGGACTGACAACTCTGTTGCTAAATGACACGGTTGTTAAGTGAAATACCAGGTGATCTTAGTGGGCTTATCATCTTACCTCCCCTTCAGTCATTAAGTGAAATGCTACAGTCATTAAGAAAGACATCACAATTTTATTACTGGCTTCTCTCTTGTTTTTGCTTGTCAGTAGCCAGTGATGAAATGCACAAGTAGCAGTCACCTGACCATGGGATGTTGTGATGGTAGTAAATACTCACCAGTTGCAAAGTGCCCAAATGTCAATCGTGACTACAAGAGCACTGCACTGGTTGTAAAAAGTTACTTTTTCAGTACCCATTGTAACTTTGAATGGTCGTTAAATGAGGGGGCTAGTAAGCAATGCTTACATGTAAATATTTTTAAAAACATTTTTGCTATGCTTTTGCCCTTTCTCTGTGCCATTTCAAAGGTAAAAGTAAAGATTTCCCCTCTCCAGTCGTTTCTACCCTAGGGGGTGTTGTTCATCTCTGGTTGGGGAAGAAAAATTGTTCATAGAGAATCCTATGAAGAGCAAGGTGTTTCATACCTGTCCATAGGCATTTAGTGACAGAGAAACCACCCCTGGCCCTGCCCAGCATACAAAGCAACAAAGTGACTCACTGCAGGAACTTCTGGGAAGCTCCTGTACCTCATTTCAGCCTGTGCAACAAGGCAAGTGGCAACTGGCAGATAGAGACCACCTGTCTACTTGTGATCCTGGCTGTCAGGCAGCACCTGAAAGGTACCAGGGTCCCCAGCCAAAACAGGGTGGGTTTCTGTGCTTCACGAAGAAGCATTTATAGGACAGGCATACACAAACCTATCACTTAAAGTGAAGTTGCAAGGAGTTCCATTAGTCATGGAACTGGACACTGGGTCTGCACTTTCAATCATTTCTATACACACATTCAGAAAGATTTGTTCTGGTAGTGGATTTCAGGCCAAGATTAGGCCTTCTGACATCGTGTTAACAGACTTTCAAAACTCCAGAGTGTGTGTTAAGGGGGAGGCCACCCTTAACGTACAATATAAGGATTTTGAAGGTCCATTAGATGTATTGATAGTGGGGGGCAACTGATAGTAGGGGACAGTACTGACATTCCAGACAGCCCTACTATGGAACTGGGAAGTGGAGGAAGGCAGCCTCATGATAGGTCTAGGGTAGACCTGGGAGGCTTTACAGAGTTGTCCAACAGTGGCAGCCTTCTAGAAGGGCCAGAGAGCCTGCAACTAGGCAGGTCAACCAGGTTATGGAGAGAACAAAGTCCTGGCCTGACGAGCCCGGTGGGCAAGCAAGCAGGCCAGGCAACGGGGTACAGTCCATGGGGACCACCAGGGTCAAAGGAAGGGGGCAAACACATAGCACCCCCCGGACAAGATGTGCTTGGAGGTTGCCAGGGAATTCAGAGGTCACAGAGAGCTAAAAGATCTCCTAAATATCTTGAAGATTTTGTAACTCTGCTGGCAAAGCAGAAACAGTAAGAGGGTGTTCCTGTGAAAGGTTGGAATAAGGAACAATGGGAAATGAAGCCCAAATCATTACAGCTTGGTACCAGGGAGCTAGTGTGGCTCCCACGCTGGTGTTGAGGTCGCGTGTAACTATTCATGTAGTTGTAGTTTTAGCCGGGGGGGGGAGGGGTGTTGTGTCCTGAGCCTGCAGAGGCAGGCTCGGGACGTTGCAACAGTCCGGGGCAGTTGCAAGCTGCCCGGGACCAGACTGGCTGGCGCCAGCACTCGCGCACATGCGTGAAGTGCAAAGCGCGCCAAATGTTGCCGTTTGGTCCGGGGATTGTCTTTAAGAGGAGGTGAGAGGCTTGTGTGCCTCGGCGTTGTAACAGAGCTGCTGGTCATCAATAAAGAGGCTCCTGAGAACTACCAAATGACTCCTGAAGTTATTGCCTTTCGCTAAGGACTCAACATATAGGATCCTATATGTTTGTGTTCCCTTTATTTTTGTGAGCAATATATATAGAACTCAGGGTTGAACTGTGGAATCTTATTATATTCTGTGCTGTAGCTTCCTGTTATGTTTTTTTGGCAAAAGATCGGCCTTGGAAAATTATTATTTTTGAAGGGCTCTTATTTGATACCTTCGGCTTTTTGATAAAAATGCTAACACTATTTAGTAAGCAATTTATTAATTTTGCAACATCTGAGTTTAATATTATATTGTTTTCTATCAAGTAAGCAGCTGTTGATCTTTACCTTGCTGCTACATAATTTAACACTTGTAATTATTTATGTAAATGTATAATGTGTTTCAGCTCATAAAATTAGAGTTTATAGTACATTACTATAGGTGGTTTTGGCACCTTGTGAGACAACTTGACAGATGGTCTATAACCTTAGAAATAGGTAAATAAATCAATATATTTTGGTGAAACCTGAATTCAACCCATATCCATTATCTTCAGTTTTGCAAGTATTCCTGGAACAGATAGTTGGAGGCATTTTACTAGGCAACTCGAGAGATCTTCCAGCTGAATCCGTGACGTTATTCCAGTTTTACAGCTACCTGGAGAAACACCATGTAAACAACTTGGAAAAATATTTGATCCGATTCGCTAAAGAAGGTAAATGAATGAATAGATATGGAGAACCAAAATAAAATGTGGTTGATTCCCAAACCTTAATGTTGAAGTAATGAATGGCAAATTTTGGGTACAAATTAAAACATCCTCTCAGTTCTAGATCACCAACTCCAACTTAGCAGTTTTTCCAACTAGGTGGCAAGCTTTGCTCTGAAAGATCTTGGGAAAAGTTCTATCTTAATGAACTTTTGAAATGAAAATAGGAACGGGACTGTCCTGACCTCAGGGCAAACTGCTCCAGAAAGAAAGGCAATGACCAGGAAGCTTGTTTCCAAGACCCTACTTTCTTCACATCTCAAGAGGGAGGAAATCCACAACATGCCCTCCTACCCACACATGTTGAATGGATAGATTTGAGATGAAGTAGAACAGTCTCATAATCAGGCCAAACACTATGAATTTAAAAGTGATAACAATCTAGATTGCTGAGGTAAGTGTTTTCCAATCTTAGCAACTTCCAGATGTGTGAGCTTTGACTTTCAAAATGTTGGCCTTGTTGACTAGGAAACTATGGGAGATAAAGTCCACTAATCTGGACATTGCCAATCACTGCTTTAAGGCCATGAGGATAATTCCTAAGACTGGAAAATGTTAAGACTGTACTCAGCAAAATAAAAGCAACATCTTCTGGATGTATCTGTTTTAGTATCTAGATCAGGGGTTCCCAACACCCAATCTGTGGACTAGTACTGGGCTGCAGCATGCCAGAAACTGGTCTGCACAAACAAGCAAAGCCCCATCCTCCGGTCCGCAGAAAAATCTTTGTCCACAGAACCGGTCCCCGGTGTCCAAATGGTTGGGGACATCTGATCTAGATTACCTACAGGCTTCTTAGAGAAGGTAATGTTAAAATTGTTTATTACATTTACATTCCATCTTTGTCCCCTTGTGGAACTCAAAGAGGCATATGTAGATTTCCTGGATAATTTTCAAATTGATTAAACTTATACCTATTTAACTTGTTAACAAATTGATTGGATGACTGTAAGAACGTCCTGCTGCTGTAAGAATCAACCAGAACACCAGGTACGTTTCAGTAGTCAACAAAGGTTTATTTCGCTATGTCGAAAACAAAATCAGCTCTGGGAAACACCCCAGCCCAGCGTCCTATTAATCCCATCACCACACCCACCGCGCACGCCCCAATCACCCCCAATTACCTAATACCCCTGCTGGTGCAGTATCATCATCCTATCAATTACATTCTGTCAGACCCAGTCATAAATCAGCGCTCCGCCCACATAATGTGTTCTAAGACGTGGTCCCTCCGTCATAGCGGAAGCGCCGGTATTAGTCCGACACTACGGCTCCACCAGGCTGTTCGGAAGTCGGTCTTTGCCTCCGGAGACCGTGGATTGTTTCCCCCACCAGGGCCCCCTAATGACAGATTCGTATCTTTGTTTCACAGCCTGTGATATTGACGAATGGAGCGAAGACATCCCCTCCCGAGGCCTCGGATATTAGAAGACATATCGCCCCCCAAATGTCCTGTATTTCATGGATTGATTCAACGCTACTTGCTTGATACCACAAAATACCTGGTATATCATCTCAGGTGCATTGCCCAACATTTATCTGCTTGCTGCTTCACTGCCTTTTCCGCATGTTGTAACGCCTGTTTCACTGTTCCACACCTGACCGGACGGGACATCCAATAAACTACTTGGAAAGGGAACCGGATCGAACCCGGTGCTTTTATGCACTGCGTTGTTATACGCTAGTTCCGCGAATGGTATGAAGTCTATCCAATCTGACTGTTGGTGAGATACATAAGACCGGAGATATCGTGAGATTGCCGCATTAGCCCGTTCCGCCGCCCCATTAGTGCAAGGATGGTATGCTGAACTCAGGCCTTGTGTGGTCCCAATGCTTGCTAGGAATCTACGCCAGAATTGAGCCGTAAATTGAACACCCCTGTCCGAGATAATTCTACGGGGTGCTCCATGTAATCTATATATGTGTTGCACGAACAATGTCACCAGTCCCCTCGCAGATGGCAGTCCTTTGCAGGGGACGAAATGTGCTTGCTTCGAGAACAAGTCCACAACCGTCCATATGACCGTGTACCCTCTGATGTTCGGTAAATCAACAAGGAAATCCATCCCGATGTCCTGCCAGGGTCGGATCGGATTAGATACCGGTTGTAGCAGTCCCATTGGCCTCTTCGGTACCACTTTAGACTGCGCGCAAATCCTACATTCCTTAACGTATCGCTCAATGTCCTTCCGTAAACTGGGCCACCAGAACTGTCATCTCGCCAAATGGAGCGTCTTGACGAAGCCAAAATGGCCTGCCAGCTTCGAGTCGTGACATTGATGAAGTACCCGATGACGCATTTCCTGGGGGATGTATAACCTATTCCTATACCAAGCCAAGCCATCACGCTGGGTTAATAACCCAGGATTCGCCTGCAACCAGGGATCGGTCAACAATACAGTTTGCAGTTCCTCCTCAAACGTCACCACTTTGGCACATCCTTCTACGTGTGCGGGATCCCTACTACATAGCGGCATAATGGTCTGGATCACTTGTTCCTTTTTACTATCATATTGTGGTAGCCGGGAGAGTGCGTCTGCTAGGAAGTTCTTTCCTCCGGGCACCACCTTCAGGTGAAACCGGAAACGCTGAAAATACTGCGCCCATCGAACGTGTTTCGGCGCCAATCGCCTTGGAGTCTGGAGGACCGCCAGGTTCCGGTGGTCCGTCCACACCTCGAATGGGTGTTGCGCACCCTCCAATAGATGTCGCCAGGTGGACAACGCCCATTTTATCGCAAATGCTTCTTTCTCCCACACTGCCCATCGTCTCTCGGGGTCGGTAAACTTCTTGGAGGTGTATGCGCACGGTTGCAAGTTGCCTTGGCCGTTACGTTGCATCAAGAGTGCGCCGACAGCCACATCACTAGCGTCGGCCTGCACTATAAATGGCTTATTTGGGTCGGGGTGCAATAGCACTGGTTCCTCTGCAAATAGTCGTTTAAGAGACTCGAAGGCCCGTTGGCAAGCTACCGTCCATTCCAATGCCTGTTTGGGATGGGGTTTGCCAGGTGTGGTTTTGGTGCGCAACAATTGAGTTAATGGTAGAGCCACATCAGCGAAAGAGGGGATGAATTGGCGGTAGAAATTGGCAAACCCCAAGAATCTCTGCAGTTGACGACGGGTCCTCGGGGCCTGCCATTCTAGAACACTGCGTACTTTATTAGGATCCATTTCTATCCCCATAGCTGACACCCTGAACCCTAAATAATCTATCCGGTCTTTGTGAAACTCGCACTTTGACAGCTTACAGTACAGGTTGGCGTTTAACAACTTTTGCAGTACTGTCCGTACTAATTGTACATGGTCTTCTAACGTCTGCGAATAGATGAGTATATCATCCAGATAGACAAGGACGCCCCTATATAGATGATCATGTAATACTTCATTTATTAGTTGCATGAAGACGGCCGGCGCTCCTTGTAACCCGAAAGGCATCACCTTGAATTGGTAGCTGCCCAGGGGACAGTTAAATGCTGTCTTCCACTCGTCCCCTTGCCTAATGCGTACCCTATAGTATGCCTCACGGAGGTCTAGTTTTGTGAAGATTTTCCCAGCCGCCAAATGAGTGAGCAGGTCTTTCATAAGCGGCAGGGGATATACTTGATTTATACACACTGCGTTCAGACCTCGGAAGTCTACACATAACCTCAATCCCCCGTCCTTTTTTCCCTGGAATATAACTGGAGCGGCTATTCTCGAACGTGCTGGTTCTATAAAACCTCTGGCTAGATTCTTATCAATGTACTTTCTCATTTCCTGCAGTTCTGCAAATGTCATGGGGTACATTCTGGGTTTGGGTAGCTTAGCTCCTGGAGCGAGTTCGATTGCACAATCAGTCTGTCTGTGCGGTGGCAAACTATCACATTCCTGTTCGCTAAACACTGCCGCGAGATCGTCATATACCCGTGGGTATGGGGTTTTGTCCTTCTCCTGTACCGATCGTGAAGCGTTTAACTTTCTATCCCTATTCAAGTCATCTGGCGACCGCGGATGCGGACCTACTGCTAGCCGTAGGTGTCTGGACCCCTCCGCCCACCAAATGGTTGGTGTCCACTTATCCATCCACGCTAATCCCAGAATAACAGACTCGGACATAGTGGGAACAACTATGAACCTTATCATTTCCCAATGACCCCCAATATCCATTCTAACAGGCTCCGTTACCAATGTAGTGGGGACCCCTCCCAACAGGGAACCATCTACCTGCTCAAAACGGATCGGGGTCTTTAGTCGGGCCACCCTAATCCGCATCTGTTGTACTAACCCCTTACTAATAAGGCATCTTGTACATCCCGTATCTAATAACGCCGGACAGGGCATTACCTCACCCGTGACCGGGTTTGTCAATGAAATGGGGATGGTGAAGGGGACGATGGGGTCACTCACCATCGGATCTTCCACCGGTCCTTCGTCCTCGTATTCCTGTAATGTAGGAGACGCCCCATCGGGTGTTTGCTGGATCGGCGACTGTCCCAGTTGGTAGGCCACCCGTGATTTCTCTGTCGGTTTTTTCGATGTGGTACCCGGGGTGCCAACCGCCGTAGGTGTACCTGTGGGCTTGGGTGTTCCACACTCCGCAGCGCGGTGGCCCGGCCGATTGCAGCGGAAACACCGGAAGGTGGGCTTTGGACGTACTGTACTCAGCACGTCCGGACTGGTGCCACCTACAGGCTGATCTTGATTCCGGCGGGGCCTCTCCTCCCGTCTTCCAGGACGATCCCTCAATCCTACATCCAACTCTACCGCGGCCCTATACCAATCAGTCAAACGCCCAGCCACCCCTCGGACTATACATGCTTGGCGTATGGTGGTATCCAGACCAGTGCGGAAATGATGAATTAGCAGGCTGTCCGGCCATGACCTAAGCCTCCCTGCCACTTTTTGGAATTCTCGAATGTAGTCCTGTACTGGTCTGCCCCCTTGCCGCAGACCCACTAACTGGGCTTCAGCCCGTAGCAGGCGTGTTGGGTCCTCGAACCTTGTTTTTAGTGCGTCGAGGAAAAGACCCACATCGGCTAACTCCCTGGCCTGGTCGCTATATAGGTCTGCGGCCCAAGCAGCGGCCTCACCTTGCAGACTCGCTGTAACCGCGACCACCATGGCCCAGTTGGACGAGTACAAGGTTGTATAACGGTCCAGATGGTTAAGAACGTGGCTTAGAAATACCGCCAACCTGTCTGGATCCCCGTCAAACGTGAGGGAAATTGGTGGGGGATTCCATATCATCTGCTGGGGCCATGGAGCCGGTACCCTACCGCCATATGGACCCGTCCCTGGATACGCCCTGGAACTGGGTCCTGCTCCCAGGTTCTCCAGCCCGTCTCCATCCGGACCTTCCGGTGGAGCCCGCGCCTCTCGTGTATCCAGTCTATACCGTGGACGCTCAGTTCCGGTTTGCCTTGCCATCGAATCCCGGATTGTAAACCGACCCCCTTGCGGCAATTTGAACTCCGGGCTCGCCAGTTGAAAGGGGGACACATAAGGGGTACTATCCTTACCAGGGCTGCGAACGGTATCTGGGTAAATCCGTTCCCCAAACTGTTCCCTAAGGACCTCTAACGTATATTGGCCTGGAGCTGTGGAGCAGCTCCAATCTTCCTCGTCATCTCCGGCCATCCTGCGTTCCCTCCAGCCAGCGAAACTAGGTGCCAACCGCCGCCCCCTACCATCCCCCCAGGGACCGGCAGCTGCTCCGGCCCACCACTCGTCGTCCGCCGACGTTGGTTTGCGTCGTTTAGGTCCATGCTCCACAGCCGCAGGGAAACGTCCTTTCTCCTTCGGGCGTGTCGCCACACGCTCCTCTTCCTCGACTCCTACGTCCGGATTCTCCGACTGTTCGTCAGCTTCCTCAGCCTCCACATCCATAACCGGTTCCTCTCCCTGTGTCCCTTCAGCCATAGCTCCACGAGAAGCAAGACGAAGTGAGAGCTGATTTACTGTAAGAACGTCCTGCTGCTGTAAGAATCAACCAGAACACCAGGTACGTTTCAGTAGTCAACAAAGGTTTATTTCGCTATGTCGAAAACAAAATCAGCTCTGGGAAACACCCCAGCCCAGCGTCCTATTAATCCCATCACCACACCCACCGCGCACGCCCCAATCACCCCAATTACCTAATTACCCCTGCTGAACGCAACCCCATCTGCACCACACCCTATCATCATCCTATCAATTACATTCTGTCAGACCCAGCGTCATAAATCAGCGCTGTCCGCCCACATAATGTCTGTTCATCCGGGCTTCCCGTGCAATAGAGTAAGCAGCCACGTGGTTCCTCCGTCATAGCGGAAGCGCCGGTATTAGTCCCGACACTGCTCCGCGTCCGGCTCCACCAAGGCTGTTCGGAAGTCGGTTCAGAGCTCCGGCTCCACCAAGGCTGTTCGGAAGTCGGTTCAGAGCTCCGGAGACCGGCCAACGTCCGTACATGGGTAGGATGCACGCTGGGGCTGACATCGACATCTGGTATCCTGTGTTTTGGTATATAGTATGTTACTATTCTTTCATTTCCATCTTGAGGTTCAGAGTTATGTCAGGACATTAGGTTCCAATATACTGGGTCACTGACTTCAGTATGGGATATTGACAGCTACCTGCCATGTTGGGTGTACACTATTCCAGTTATAGAGGGAACTTATCATAAGTGTTTGAGTCAATAGACAATCCCTGCAGTTTTCTTGGCAAGATTTCAGAAATGATTTGTCAAGAGTAACTGGCTCATGGTCACCCAAGTGGCTTTGTGCCTAGGATGGGACTAGAACTTATGGTCTTCTGGTTACTTTAACAAAGTTTGGTCCAGTTGCCATGATTCAACCACCTATGGTCTTCTGGTTTCTAGCCTGGTGCATTAGCCACTACACCAAATTGACTATATTCAGGTTTGATGCTGGAGAATAAAACCAGAAGAGGACAGTCTTAAGGGCCCTTATCTGAAATTCCCAGAGGCATCTGACAAGGGAAAAAGAAATGGGCAGGAGGGCTTCCAATCTACAGAGATGTTTTAATATTGATTCAGCCTCTAATGCTGCAGTTCAAAGGTTTGGAAGTAGTGTTTTAGGTTTGCTTGGAAAGATCCCTTTGTGCCTGTTTCCTTGGCAAGGATACTTCTAGTTCCAGCAGTTAGCATAGTGCACTAATGGCTTGACCAGAAATGGTAACTCTAAGACCACATATGGTATCAGATTTCAGATTGACTTGCCATTTTTTAAAAAGCAATTCTTTGGTCACAGTACTGACAATAGTAATAGTTTTTTAAGCCTCTCTACTTATGGCTGAATTCCTTTCCTCTAGTAATATTGACAGAGGACCTGCAACGTCCCGGGAGAATGAAGAAAATAAAGAAGTTAAAAGGGAAGCAGCTGAATCAGCTGGAACCTCTGCCTCAGACCTTACGGCTCCTTGCGGTCCTGCAGCTTGATGAGAATCATCGTATAGGCAAAGCAGCCACATTGTGCCTTTCTCGTGCAGCAACCAACAGGAATTTCAGGGAAAAAGTAGGTGCTTTCTCCTTCCTGCTAGCTGCACCCTGGGAATATATGCTTCTCTGTGCATTTCAGTAGCTATAGTCCTGCTTTGTATTCAGAAGGTCTGTCCATGGCAGTGGCTCCAAATGTGTGCCATGTAAACCCCAGCCAGTATAGATACAGCTAATCCTTGACTTACAGCAGTACATTTAGTGACTATTCGAAATGAGAAAAGTGATGTATGACCATTTTTCATACTTACCCCTGTTGCAGTATCCCCCATGGTCACGTGATCAAAATTAGTTGGTAACTAACTATGACGGTTGCAGGGTCCTGGGCTCATGTGTTCATGTTTTATGACCTCCTGACCAGCAAAGTCAATAGGGAAGTCAGATTCACTTAATAACTGTGTTATTAACTTAACCTCCATGATTCATTTGTCAACTGTGGCAAGAAAGGTCATCAAATGGGGCAAAACTGACTTAACAAATGTCTCACTTAGCAACAGAAATTTTGGACTCAGTTGTGGTTGTAAGTTGTAAGGACTACCTGTATTCTTTATGCACATGGAACAAGTGTCCTTAATGTAGTGATTCATTCTTTTTATCTTCTACAGAGCTCACTTCCCTCTTCAGGTATAATTTTTATAGTAATCTAGGTCAGGTAAACTAAACCGAGGGAAGGCGTTTTGTTAAGATTCATGAACTATATGACAAACCAGAAACTGAATAGAATAACAGAGTTAGAAGAGACCTTCTAGTCCAATTCCAAGCAGGAGACCCTTTATAATTTCAGACAAACAGCTGTCCAATCTCGTCAGTGATGGAGAGCCCACAACTTCTGAAGTTGATTCAATTTTGCTTCTTCTTTCAAAGCCCAGTACTTTGAGCTGGCTTTCCTTAACCCAGATGCAGTGAATTATGTTCTCATGCTTTCCCACTTCTATGCTGAGCTGGGAATTAAAAGATTTGTACACCAGGTCTTCCAGGGTAGAGCCAGATTGAAGAAAGCCAATGTTTCTCAACCTCAGCAACTTGAAGATGTCTGGACTTCAACTTCCAGAATTCCCAAGCTGGCAAGGTTGAGAAATGCTGTATCTTTGTTTGAAAAGGAAGGATAAAAAGCATTATCACATACAAGCCCAGAATTCTCATTAGGACTGTTAAATTACAATTCCCCCCCCCCCCAGCTTCATGCTTCCACATGTGTAAAGATTATAGCTGGGAGGGAATCCTACCCATCTAAATGGTGCTAGGTCAGGATTAGGGCATTTATGCTAAAGTATTTTTTTTTAAAGAAGAAATATTAACAGCCTTGTTACATTCTTTTTACTGCAGGCTCTTCCTTTTTACACAGATCTCTTAAGCAACGATGATGTGAAACTACAGCAAGCCGCTTGTCTAGCCCTCAAAAACCTCAGAGTGAGTGCTTTTAAAGAAACCTATAGAACAGTGGTTCTCAAACTGTGGTCTTGCAGAGAGGTGATGAAATCAAATACTTTAAAATTTCTCAGTCTTAATTTCTAATATAGTAAATACTGATAGATATAACCAGTGGTGGGATTCAGATATGTGAACAACCGGTTCTCTGTGTGGATGCTGCTTCCGGAAGTCCATGCTGGGCCTGGGCAAGAAAAAATTAGCTACCGGTTCTGCCAAAGTGGTGCAAACTGGCTGAATCCCACCACTGGATATAACCCACATAAACCAAAGCTCTTTGGTGTCCTTAATCATTTTAAGAATGTAAAAGACCAAAATATTTGAGAACCTCTGCTTTCCATGCTGGCTGGAAAATTCTAGGAATTGGAAGGCCACACATCTTAAAAGTTCCCAAATTTGAAAAACCACTGCTTTAGAAAATTCTTGGGGAAATGGACTATTTGAATAGGTTTCATCAACAGCCAGCAGAGGGGGTCCAAATCCAAGAATTTAAAACATGTTATCAGTCCTTGGAATCCTCCTAGGGCTCCACTAAGGGACATCTGTCACTGTCCTGATCTGGGATCTTATGGTTATTCTGTGATCAGATCATCTTTTGGCCTGGACACCAGGCCATTCACTGTTTTTGTCTGGTTATACATGTAACTTCAGTGCAGACTTTGTGGCATGTGGAAATCAGTGGTGGGATTCAGCCAGTTTGCACCACTTCAGCAGAACCGGTAGCCCAGAATGGACTTCTGGAAGTGGCATCCACACAGAGAACCAGTTGTTCACATATTTGAATCCCACCACTGGTGGAAATCAATAACCGTTCAGGGTCCAGTTCACTGCATATATTTGTGTAAAATGTTTGCAGACTGTTTGGCCTTCACTGAAATGATGGTTCCTGGTAATCCGGCAGAATTTAGCATTGCAATATGGGCAAAGGATCCCTGTTGGCTTTCTTAGAAACCAAATCTAACTGCTCCAGTCCAATGTTTTGTTTTAGAGGGCCAAATCCAAAAAGGACGAAAAGTAAGCAGGGAGAATAGAGAGAAGAACAGGAGGTAGTGGTCGGAACAAAATTAGTAACTTTCTGGAAAGTTAGTGCTATTTTGGGAATGAAAATGTTTCCATCCATCCCTCCTGCAGCTGTTTTGCAAGAGACCGCGCAGAATGGCCTCAAAATTCCAAATGTAGTCATTTCCCCTCCCCAAAGTTGGAGAATTGTCTAAGTAATAACATTACACTTTGAGGCAGTTTGGTGTAGGTGTTAAGGTGCTAGCCTAGAAACCAGGAGATTTCCTTTTAGGTATGAAAGCCCACTGGATAACTTTGGGTCAGTCACTCTCTCTCAGCCCAACCCACCTCACAGGACTGTTGCTGTGGGAAAATTAGGAGAGCGAAGGAGTACTTAGGTATGTTTGCCTCCCTTGAGCTGTATATAAAAAAGGCAGGATAAACATGTACAGGTAGTCCTTGACTTACAACAGTTTATTTAGTGACTGCTCAAAGTTACAGTGGCACTGAAAAAAGGGACTTATGACCATTTTCACGCTTATGATCATTGTAGTCATGTGATCAAAATTCAGACGCATGGCAATTGACTCATATTTACGATGGTGGCACATCCCAGGGTCATGTGATCACCTTTTGCAGCCTTCTGACAAGCAAAGTAGATGGGGAAGCCAGATTCACTTAACAACTGTATTACTAATTTAACAACTGCAATGATTCACTTAACAACTGTGGCAAGAAAGATCGTAAAATGGGACAAAACTCACTTAATAACAGAAATTTAGCAACAGAAATTTTGGGCTCAGTTGTGGTTGTAAGGGGAGGATTATCTGTATTGGTAAATTATGATAGACAAAGAGCATGTGATTGCCTCTTGCTTCTGGCTGCTCCTCATGCAGTGGCGATTCACTCATCTGCCAGAGTGGTGATTGTATTGGTCTAGCATGCTGAGCTGGAGAATGGGCAGAAGCAAACAAAGATGCAAGTAAAATTCTCCGTCGAAATATACTGGTCTATCCTTTCTTTACAGAATGCCATAAATTTCAGTTTACTGAAGCCAGATGTTAACTATTCTCAAAGAGATGAATTGGGGTTAAGAATTGGGAGAAATAACTTACAGAGTTATTAAAATGTTTCTTTTATCAAACAGGGCATTGAAAGTCTAGAGCAAATTGCCACACTGTGCCAATCAGAAAACGAGGAAGTGAGGACCACTGCCAGAGAAACAACACTTTCATTTGGTAAACGCTTTCATGATTCTCTGCTTAGGTGTTCTGAGTGATAATGAATAGCAAGTATAGGTAGTCCTCATTTAGTGATCACAAATGAAAATGGCAACTCTGTCATGAAGTGAAAGATCACTAAGTGAAACCATGACTAGATTTATGATTTTACTTCAATTTTCCTTTGCTTTATAGATCTGCAAAGGTTTTCAGTCCTTGGCTTTATAGACCTAAAAATAATGGAATGGAATGGAATAGAATAGAATAGAATAGAATAGAATAGAATTCTTTATTGGCCAAGTGTGATTGGACACACAAGGAATTTGCTTCCGGTGCATAAGCTCTCAGTGTACATACAGACAACAAAGTAATATAGTCATAAAATACCAATAAGAGACAGTAGTAGAAAAGATGAGAAGTATAATAGTAATATAGTCATACTACATTGGTAAATATCCTTAGACATAAGACATTACTGTGGGAATTAAGAGTTCAGTTTTAGGTTTTAGCAACCTAAAATAGATATAGCTAACTGAAACTACCTGTAAAACAGCAAGTAAAAGAAGTGGAGCTTGTAGAATTGATCTTTTTAGTGGATGTGGTATGGGTGTTTCACCAAGATGTAAATATCGCTTGCTCTAAAGAACCAGCTTGCCTATTGCCATTGAATCACATTTTTCAAATCTTTTTTTTCTTATGCCAAATCTAAAATTCTGTCCACCATCGCCTCTGTTACCGAATCATGCTCCAAGTTCCACTTTAAAATTTTTATATGTATAAAAGTAAATGGGAAGCAAACATGCTGTGAAGCAACATTGTTGTGGTTGTTAACTCTCTAATCCCAAACATTGTTCTGGACCTCATAAACGCACTGAAGACATTTAGAAAACCAAAGTACTAGGAAGTTGCAATCCATTGCTTGCATGGAAGAGTATTCATTTCTACAGAAAAAAAGAGTCAGAAGGAAGCTGTAATGGTGGAGACTATGCAACCAAGTTAGAGGACACAGCAAGGAACCTCATTAGTTTGGCTAATTGGTTGTTTAGTACTAGTCTTTACCTCACAGGAAGTCATTTAGAGAGAGGGCCCAATTCAAACACTGGACACCCCTGCTTTATTATTTTATTTATCACATTTTGATAAATGTTACCCCTCTCTCACAATATGGTCTGTGGTCAAGTTTGATGGTATTTAGTCTGTGGTCCACTAACATATGGAGGCTCACAAATTTTCCTTCTTTCCTCGATGCCCTGATTCAAAGGTCAACTTCTGCCATTCTAGTAGGCCTGATCTTGTTCACAAATGATATGATATTTTGACGACAGATAGAAATTATTTTGTCTTAGTGCAGCTGGTGCTAGAAAGAAAACATAAACTAAATGCTTCAGCAACTGTGAAAATATATTGGGAAATATCAGCTTTGCTCATCCAACCAGATAACTTTTTATTTATTTATGGGATTTACTCCCCACCTTTCATCTATCTGTTTTAACAGATTCAAGAAAGGAGAATTGATGGTTTGGCTTCTTTTGATAGCAAGAGTGAAGGAAGTTGGATAACCCAGGCTGCTTATATGTACCACTAGAAGAGCAACTGAAACGAAGTTGCAAATCTATGGAATTAATCTATGGGCTTTCTCCAGACATTTGCTTTGGATGGTCACTTGAAGTCATTTTCTTAACTTCCTTTTAAAACCATGTACTCCTTACTGAACTTTATAAAATTATCCAGTTTGAGAAATACTATAATTACTAGGTAATGCCTAATGTTTGCAAATAACTTCTTGGCTCACATCAGGTTCTCTATTCCACCTGACTTCACTTTTTAAAAAAGATTTGAAAGTCAGTGAGGAGTTGATGTGCCAGATTTATTCCCAAGAATAACTTTGGAGCCAGCATCAGCATTCCTAGAAAATAAACACAGTACAAAGCTGCAGTTTAATTCTTGGCTTGCTATCTGCCTTTCTCTTGACTTAGAATAGCCTTTCTTAGGAAATATGGGTGACCCCCAACTCTGTTGGTCTTCTGGGAAGCCATGAAGTCTTAAGTTTCCAGCCAGGTCCAGTTGGTACTGGCATTTGTGCAGTAATGTGTGATTGGTCTAGATTATGTTTCTTGTTTGTATCTTTGCTAACCATCCAGAGTTCCTCTGCTTAGATGGTTGACCATATACATTTGTTTCATACATCAATAAACTGAAGTCAAACACAGTTTTTCTATATCTAGTAAAGGGAAGGGCTGGAGCAGTCTCCATCTCCTTAGCAAAGATAGCTATTGAGTATCTGGAAAGAGGAGGACCATTGGTGCCTGAAGAGAAGGTGGACTGCCATTCCCAACACAGTTATTATCAGTCATGGCTACTTTCTGTTTTTCTTTGCAGGAGAAAAGGGAAGATTGGCTTTCGAAAAAATGGACAAAATATGCTGTGATCTAAGAGAGGCTATGTATCAAGAAGCTGACATTGAAATTACAATATTTTGAACAAGAACTTCAAAGGAGGAACCAAGGGTTAGATGCTACAGTAGAAAGGAGTCTTCCAAGAAAAAAGAAAAGTTGAACGCCATTGGAAAACATAACAAACCATAACTACAAATATTTTTAAGCATCCACATTCTATAGTCTTAAATATAATTAATATTACACTTGCACTATATTTGAGTGCTGAAGATGTATAATGAAACCCAAACACCATTTTTGGATTCGATGAATGAGATTGGAGAAGCTTCTTTTTTTAATTATTAGGTGTCCCCCTTTGGTTTCAAGACAAATATTTATCTTCTCTGACACAAGAGGAGGCAGACTATTTTATATATATTTATTCATTTAATTCTTGTAGACCAAGATTTTTCAAATGTAAAGTTCTAACATAATTAGCTTAATGCAGCAAATTAACTTGTGGTTGCCTTCTAGTGGCCTTTTTCCTTTGGAGCAGATCTCACAGAGACTTTAAGGCAAAAGTTGAGGCTGATCATTTCAAATTTTAGACATTTTCCCCACTTTTTACATAAAACATCCTAGGGCAAACACATCTCCCCTGTCCTCCTCCCATAAGGCATCTCTCATTCTTTGATTTGGGGACAAGGGCATCTGCAAAGTTTTTTAAAAAATTACCATGGTGGCTGCAACTGGATTATTGAAGCGTATTCTGTTTTTATTTGTATCATCTGCACAATGCATGTGAAAAAGCAGACAGAACTTTCCACATAGATTAAAACTCGACATAAAATTCTTGGATTTGTGGACTGAGACTGGAGCTTTACAAATAGTTGTTGGTCGTCCCTGTAGCTTCCATTTAAGATATTACCATGTTCACATTTTTGACAGCCCTTTCCTCCCTCCTTCCTTGTCCCCATTACACCTATTTCCTATTTCTATTTATCCAACTATTTGAAGAGCTGTGGTGGCAGAGTGGTTAGAATGCAGCATTGCAAGCTAACTCTGCCCAATGCCAGGAGTTCAATCCTGACTGGCTCAAGGTTGACTCAGCCTTCCATCCTTCCGAGGTCGGTAAAATGAGGACTCAGATTGTCGGGGGCAATATGCTGACCCTGTAAACTACTTTGAGAGGGCTGTAAAACACTGTGAAGTTGTATATAAGTTAAGTACTATTGTTATTGTTGAAAGATATCCAGTCAGTAAACACTCAGCTCCATCCAGTCACTCCAATTCTACCCCAAGTAAAGGCATTACAGGATTGTAAAAAGGGGGAGTTACTTATGCACCTATTGAGTGAAAATTTCCATTCACGTAATTGAATACATTAATTATTGTCTCCCAAAGATTTGAATAGATAAATTGATATTATGTCTTTGTTTCTGTCAATGGAGTTTAAAATGGCTGTATGCAATAAGTAATAATACATAGGATACAAAAGAAAAACAATTCCCTCCTATCCTTTGGAAGCAATAACAAAGAACCATTTTTAAATGCTTCTAGTGGTCACCTGAAATATATTTTTATAATGTTTTCATTGATCTTGGCAATACCTGGTACTGAGTAAACAGGCACGAAAGCTTTGAATCCACAATATGGTTTTCCTTTGACTGATAATGGTTGACCATACCAAATGTACAAGTAGGTTTTCATCACCTGATCAAAATCCTTTTATACAGTGTATTTTGCTCTGTATTTTTCAGTATTTATTGCTATGACTAGTTTGAATATTCAGTTTTTTAAAAAAGATTTTATTAAAATATCTGAAAAGGATTTTCATTTTCAAGTGGTCATTTACAGAACATTCAACAACAAAATGAAATGAGAGTTTCAGAGAAGAGTCAATTTCATTTGGGTGAATTTGTTTGACTTTAAGGTGCTGGAGAAGAGATGGTAATTAGCTACTTAGCGGGGAAGCTGCAATGAATGGAAACTATTGCATGAACTGGGCAGGCCATATTTTCACATGCAGCTCAATTTTTCAAGATTGGCTCCTTTGTTTTTATTTTTATTGGGCTAAACCTATATCTATGTATTACATAGCAATTTTAATAAATTTTTCCCCTTCAGACCAGTAAGTTTTGGTGGTGGCTCTGCTAAACAATGGCAGTGAAAAAGTGTTGGTCATTTTTGACTCTTGATGACTGCAGGGACAAGTCTATAGTTTTCTTGGCCATGTTTTCAGAAATAGGTTGCCATACTTTCTTCCCAATACTGAGGAAGGTCTTGTCTTAAAATCACCCAGCTGACTTTATGCTTAAGTTGGACCAAAACTCATATTATCTTAACTTTTAGTTCACTGCCTTTAACCACCATACCAATCTATTTAAAATTGTTTTTTTTTTAAAAAAAAAAAACTACCATTCCCCATTCCCCATATATTATACTGGAAGAGTCTTGACAAGTTTAGACTCTCAATTTTGCATTCAGCCTTACTGGCTAACATTCTCTAGAACAGTCTTCTAGAAGTGATGTTGGCACCTCTTGAACTGCAATTCCATGAATGATTCTGTGAATTTATCAATACAAATTCTATTGACTATCTTACTTTACCAGGTTGTTTCTTCAGCAAGAGTCTCCTTTGTGAAAAGCTACAGATCTTTACAAATGGTGAAGTCTTTCCTAATCTCTGACTCTTGCTAAACAAGCATTGTGTGCCCCCTCTCGCCCCCCCCATGTCTTTTCTTTTGGCAATACAGAGGCTGAATGTAAAATTCAAAACAATCTTTTTCACCAATTAAAATATTTATTAGTGTATGAGATTAGGAGATTGCAATCTCTTACCACAGTGAAGGAGATAAACCGCCATCGTAATCAAGCATGGAAAATCTTTCCCCACAACTGCCTACCAGTTTATGAGAACAGGCTAGTCTGCAATTTCAAGGTAAAATAATTAAAAATTTCCCACAGACTAATATTTGCTTCAATGAGCTTTTGCTGCTGCCACTGAAACAAAAAAAGGAAGCGGAGAAAAATCAGACAAGTGTTTCTTTATAAAAGAATTTTATTGTTGCAGCTAAAATGAGAACTGAAAATTTGTATGGGAAGTTGAAAAACTGTACAGTTTTACTGAAACTGTAAGGTTGTTGCAACACCTTATGTAAGAGACAATATACCTGAAAACGTATTATACCAAAACATTTAGCTTGTTTTTATCTTATTTTATTTCTTTTCTTAAAAAAGTTTTCTATGGCAATTGGTAAAAAAGAAAGACCTGATGAGTAAATATTTGCTTAAGGCATATAGCAGAGCAGCTCACTAACTTTCTAACAAGTTTAAACATGGATATTTCTTTTCCTTCCCCCTCCCCAACCCCGCCCAAGAATAGGTTAACCAATACATCCACTTTGAAATGCTACTGTATATATACACACCCCAAACTACTACATTACATGTACAAGGACATCAAAACAAAATGCTTACAGTTCAGCATGACAAGCCGTATCCACACCTCGCTGAGCTTTATCGGGGCTTCCTACTGTATTTCTTATAGCATTTTCTATTCCACCCTTCTTATGCTGGTCTACGACCATAAAAAAGATTTTTGATTGGATACAGCATTTCTTTTGTTCAAAATGATCAAGGCAAATAAGTGATGCTGGCGGACTTGAGAGGAACATGGTAATCAGAAAAAATTTCTTGGCTGCCTTGGGACAACAAAAAAAAAGAATTTTAGTTCTTCCTGACAGATTAAATATAGTACAATCACGTTGCTGTGGAGATACATTCCGAAGTTGACCATGTCATTGTGGAAAAGATAATACAATTCTTTCATCAAAAAGTTATTTTTTTTAACCAAAATCCTTTCATTTAAAAAAAAAAAAAAGATTTTCAGTTCTAGCTTCATTCTGGTGAACTTTCTAAATCACTGTTTCCTTCACACTATCAGAAGACAATTTAAAGTATCTTGGCATGGGGGCGTCTCTGGGAAATAAAAATAGTTAAGATGGTCCCTGTGCCCGTAAAGTTGAACCTACCCCTTTTTATATATGTCACACACATCAAAAGGGGGTGGGCCTTCAATCGAGTGGTTGTGGTTGCCATCTTGACATTTTTGACCCCTCTTGCTGAATGCCCGTCTTGGCACTTCACGTTTCAGCAAGTTGCCATAGAAAACTTGTGTTTGTGTGTGTGTGTGTGAGAGAGAGAGGTGTGAATATGGCTTTGTACACACTCTGGAATGTTTGTACTATAGTTACTTGATTGAAATGAGTGCTATACAACTGGTTTAGATGGTGTACATAGAAAAACTGCCAAATAATAGGCAAGATACAGGCAACTGGGCTTTTTTTTTCTTTTTAAAGAGAACACACACACCTACCAATCTTGGAGCTGAATGAAAACACTTCAGCGACACCCTTGGAATCACAGCCATTTAAATAATCAAATCATGCAAGTATAATTGGGCACATCAGAAAGCAGAAATATAAAAATTATGTTCACCTTTTAAGCACATGGATTTCAATCAGGACATTTTTAGGAGACTTTTATACATGCAGTTGAATAAAAATGTGATACAAATGTGTCTGAATAATATTCTAGTGGATGACAGAATGTAAGAGGGACAAAGCAATCACATACTGAGTAGCAAAATACATAGATGAGCCATTATATATTATGCCATTTTCTATAATCATGTCAATATTTTCATGTTTCCAATATTATTACTAAGTATTGACTGCTTAATAAAATTCCTCTTTCTCATAGGTAAGGCTGTGAGTTATCCAGGACTACCTATGAATGTATTATTGTCATTTTGAAAAAACCTTGATACTAGCCTCATTTCACCTTTTCTTCCTTCCCCTTCTCCAAGACCTTTCTTTAACATCTCATTTGTTTAAAGAAGAAAAAGCCAACTTTGGTCAGAATTGAGGAGCAAAATAAATATGGAGTGAGAACCCTGATATATCACAGATTTTTTTAGAAGAGATGATGATACTTAAGTGCTATATAGGTAGAATATAGAATTTCCAAATAACTTGCACTGTAAATAGGGTGCCATTTTGTTAATGAAACAGCTGCAACTTCAGTACTCTTTCCCCTCTGTAACAAGGTTCCTTTTGTTATTTATATTGCTTATAAAGAGGGGAAAAGGGGGTTATCAACATCAGCATACTTCCCCAGTCATAATATTTAGAACAACAAAACACATGATTGGTCAATTTTTTACTCTTTTCTTAGCAGCTACAGCTGTACCTAAAATAAAATAAAATAAAATACAAACAGATTCTCTCTTCAAATACGGAACAAAGGATTTGTTCTGAGTTAGGGTGCAAATCTCCTCTTCAGCAGAGGTAGAAGGCTCACGGATAAAGCAAAAATCTTACACATCTGAATTAACAGTCAGAGCTACGGAGTTCAGTAGGGCTTCATTCAAGGATGCATAAGATTGCAGCCTTAAACCTGGCTCCTAAACAGCTAAGCCAAATAAAAGCTAATCTTGGAATCTTTGTTCTAAAAACAACACTGAAAAATCACCAGCACAGAGGTTTGTAACAGGAAAAGATCGAGAGAAGAGCTGGCCCAGCACTGAAGTTTTGCTGAGAAACATTGCACTGGATCTTTACCGTAAGAAGGGTTTCATGTATGTTAAGATAGCGATGATTTTAAAATGGTTCCTCTTCTACTCTGTATAGGCACAGGACATTTCTTCACAGGGTAAGTCTAGAATGAGATTGTATTTTACATTCCATAGGATGACGAAGCTTACACCCTGGTCCTTTTCTAAAGCAAGTATCTGATATATAAATGCTGGTGGACATTCTGCTTACATTTCCCTTCCCCTTCTCCATAAGGATAGGAAACTATATACACAGCTAAATATTTTTTAGGAAGTTGATCGTGCAATACAATGGGCATGTACACAGAAATAAGAGTGCAAGAGATGATTGACAAATAGCAAGGAGCACTGATGGTGAGTAGGGAGAGGAATCACTCATTTTGTCCAAAAAGGAGGGAGAATATTGTAGCATTGACCTGTTGGGATGCCCTGAGAAAAAGTGGTGCCCATTTATAGCAT